AAGGACCCTCCAAATGCCCAAGATTGAAATTCTCATTCTAGACAGGGTACAACTTCAGGTCTTTATGAAATTCCTGCCTGCTTAGAAATACTCTTGCAAATAATAATTATAAATAAATAATATTTATTTATAAAACACATTAAAAAGGCAGTTTGGGTAGAATTTTCTCCTTTTATGGACTGACTGATCTGAACTGTACAGCATCAAAAAAAGATCTTAAAACTGGAAGAATTGAAATTGCAGTTTTAAAACACATACAGTGATCTTTGTTTTTCTGGCAGGAGCTCAGTGGCTTTACAAAGGAGGCACATACCATTCATTATCTTCACCTTGTCTTTTGGAAAAGCCAAAAACAAAATGGCATGCCACATTGTTCAAGGCCACACAGAGCACATCCATGACATCCAGATATTAAATCCTGCTGTTTTAATTTTTAGTTCAATTTAAATAGTTCTTAAGCCTAATACAATCTCATTCATTATAATTAATATAATTAGTCATATATAATTAATGTCTAATAAGCTGCTGCCATTTGTGAATGCCAAATAAGCTAGTGTTGTCAACACAGCCTAAGTTCAAATTCATCAGTTTAGGAAAGCGCTAGCAACACCAAAGCCAATGCCAACAGCTTTATTTAAGTGAACACATTTCATCTAACCTTATCTATGGAGGGGAAAGTGAGAGATGCTGCACTCTCCAAGCATCGATTTTAAAACCAAGCTTATAAAATTAGCAGCAATCCATGTGCTCACCAGGAAATCACTAAAATAATCAATTGGCTTGGAACAGTCCAAGTCACTCCACAGCTCTCTCGTACATTGCAAGGAAGGGTGTTGAGGAGTGTGTTTGCCTGCACCCTGCAGTTCACACTGCTTAGTTTGGCAAAGATTTCTTGTAAAGAAAAGAACCTTTACAGAAAATTCCTTTTATTTCCTGGTGGGAACTTCTCAGTGCTAACAGCAGCAAATCATCACCTGGAGAGGCAGATGGCAATCATCTTACTGCAATTTGGGAATCTGTGGGGTGAATTGCTCTGTGTTTTTCCATTATTCTGTAGGACAACAACCAGGCAGTGGGACATTGGCAGTACTTTTAATGACTATGGGAACATGGACTGAGATGGCCAGTATAGAAAACCATGATCAGGAGAGAGGTGGAGACTACTTTGTCCCATCACAAAACAAACATCACTCAGACGTTCCAGTTCAACAGCTTGTCTTCGTGCATTAAAACAAGCCTGGAAACCATGACTGATATCATTTAGAGTAATTAATTAGTTGCTTCTCAGTCTTTTAAACGAATGCGCTACAAAGCCCCCTGAGCTCCACCGAGATCAAAAGCCAGCTTGTGCACAAGGCTCACCCCCCCTTGTAGGCAGTCCTTTTGAAAGGAGGCGATTACGTGACAAATTATTCTTTGGGGGTACAACTGCTGGCTGTGCTGCATGGCTTTGGTGAGATCTGAGCCTTTCGCCCCTCATCAGTGATCCAGAGAAGTCACTGGTTTCGGTTCTCCCTGTCGAGCCTCGGGCAGATACTTGCAATATGGCAACAGGATTTGTTTCGTCTCTAGTCATACACAGTAAAATCAAACTGTCTAAACTGACCAACACTTTTCCCCTGTCTTCTCACTGTCGCATCCCAATTAAAGAGCTACAAAGCAGAAGAAAGACGCTTTGAGACTATTTATTATCACACGGAGACCCAAATGTGCCATGCATGCTGACACTACAAAGCATGCTTTTGGTACTATTTAAAAACACAACATTTTCAGTCAAAAACAACAATTACGTCCTTTTAACTCAGCTACCAGTCAGACTGGTAGAAGAAGAATCGGGGTGTGCACAACTGTGTATCTGATGTTAAGTAACAAATCCAAGTGAAGTCTGGAATCCAGAAGACATCCTAAAAAATCACTAACACAGTCTTGAATAAATTCATTCACTAAAGGAGCAAACAACTGCATGTTACTACTTTCTCAGTAATTGTTTTGCACTTTCCTTACGTGTCTGCAGACAAAAGCATGTCACCTCTGAAATGCTCTCATTCTCTATGAGAAATGGGAGAACAGAGAAGTAGGACATACGTGCACTCAGCATTCCAAGTTTAGCCACTCATCACGGTGTTTTCAGCCCCGTGGGCCTTTTCCTTGCTGCCATTCGAGGATATGAAATGGCGATTACAGAGTCAGAGTTTGATCTGCTTGGAGACAGACCTGGTTATTGTGCTGCCATGCTGAAATGAAAGGCTAAGCTCCCTTTTGCTGCCAAAGAAGTTTATGATATTTTTATTACCCTAGAGTGCTGTTGTTTTTTTCTCACTTCAAGAGATTAAGTTGGGAGCATTTATAGGTCTGATATGCATTCTTCTCTCAGGTAGAATGTAAACAGAAGAATGATGTTGTTTTGGCCAGGAAATGGAGCCAAACTTTTCTTGATCTGTTGATGTTCATGATGAAAAAGTCATGTGAATGTATAAGTAAATTGTCCTTTCCATTAGCACAGCTCTACTCCATGAACACAGCTCTGCTCACCAACTGTTCACGCTTCTCAAGAAACAGAAGCATCTTAGAAATTGTAACTCAGGAAAACTGAGACTACAAACTTATAACTCCTTTCTAAAACACTAATCACCTCCTACTGCAAGAGGAACACAACTTGGTGCTTCAGAAGGCTGAAAGTATACACTGCTTTTCTTACCTAGTGAAGATATTCTCATGCAAGTGTAATACAAAAAAAAAAAAAAAAAAAAAAAAAAAAGAAGTGCATCTTCAATTGGTTCAGAGCAAGTGAAGCTCACCTAAAAGCAGTTTTTTATTTTTTGTAGGTAACAACATGCATTGTGACACCACGCAAATGTGGACCTCTGTGCTGAGTAAAATCAATGCTCCATTGCTTTGCGTTTTCGTCTTCTTCTGATAAATTCACATAGCAAGGTATGCTCCCAGTGATTATCTGTAATTCCACTGATAGATCAGTCATATATGAGAGAACAAAGCCCAGTACACTTCCCAAGAGCTGCAATATTCAGCAGCATACCACTCCCTTGTAATTATTCCACCTCTAATAGTAAAAGCACTGATAATCAAGAACCGTGAGCACAATGCAGTTCATATGTTGAATGAAAAAAAGCCATAAAAGTATTAGCAATGCCCATTTGTCTTCTCTCTCATGTAACTTTGTATGCCAGTGATTAACTCACTTGTGCAATACAGACCCATCACTATAAAATAAACACATTACCACTCTAAATAACAGATAAAAGTGAGACACGCAGTACATTAGCAGGATAATAATTATTCTGGTTTTGCTATCTGCAATAATTCCAAGCCAATTCCAAAACTGTACTGCTTTTATCTTTCATGTATGCTACATTTTCTTATGTTATTGTACTCCAAAGATTCAGCATATATGCTACCACTGTTTGGAGAGATGCCTAGGAAGGTATGATACATCAGTCAACTGATTTTTCTTCCACACTTCTGGTTGACACCTGTAGCTATTTGTGATGAGACTCTGCTTTCATTTACAATGGCAACAAATAGATTCCATGGATAGGAATGAAGATATTTAATGTCTCTAGCCAAAGGGCAAAAAGATCATTTATTTGGGTTATGAAAGAGCGGGTCCAGAGGAGGGCCACTGAGATGATCAGAGGGCTGGAGCACCTCTCCCATGAAGAAAGGTTGAGGGAACTGGGCTTCTTTAGCTCAGAGAAGAGAAGGCTCCAGGGAGACCCCATTGTTGCCTTTTAGTACTTGAAGGGGGCATATAAACAGGAGAGGGAACGGCTGTTTACAAGGCTGGACAGTGATAGGACAAGGGGGAATGGTTTTAAACTGAGACAGGGGAGGTTTAGGTTGGATATCAGGAGGAGGTTTTTCACTCAGAGGGTGGTGAAGCACTGGAACAGGTTGCCCAAGGAGGCTGTGGATGCCCCATCCCTGGAGGCATTCAAGGCCAGGCTGGATGTGGCTCTGGGCAGCCTGGTCTGCTGGTTGGCAACCCTGCACACAGCAGGGGTTTGGAACTGGATGAGCATTGTGGTCCTTTTCTACCCAGGCCATTCTGTGATTCCATAAGTCACGTCATCACCCGTGTGCTTGGCAACACTGATTCACAGCATATAGAGCCAAGTAGCCATTTTCAGTGCAGGCGTATGTAGAAGTTACAAAAAAGCAAGCCTGTTAAAATAAGAAGGTCCAACTCTTTTGAGCTGTCTTAAGAAAATAATAGAAGCTTAGGCATCGTTTTTTTTTTTCATTAAATGATAAATAATAATCATCCACATAATAATAATCATTAGCAATTCATGCTAAGCCTGCGGTTTTAATGTCTTTTTTTGTTCTAAAAGCCTTGAATGATTTATTTTGTAGCAATGCACACACAGTGACCGGGATGCTGGGTTGTGGTTTAGTGGGAAATATTGGTTACAGATGGCCGGTTGGACTGGATGATCTTGGAGGTCCGTTTCCAGCCTTGGTGATTCTATGACTGATCGTCTGCATTCTCGAGTCAGCCTCCAATAGCTCCGAAGAGCCATCTAGCGATGGGAGAACAAAAGAAAATCGCAAGCCCGCACCGATGGCAGCAGGCTGCCACCTGCTGATGCGCGAGAAGCACTTCACTGAGCACAACTGCCTTGCTAACAGCGACGGGACGAGAGGAACGGCCTCAGGCTGTGGCATGGGAGGCTCAGGATGTGCATCAGGAACAAAATTCTTCTCATAAAGAGCTGTAAGGCACAGCAACGGCCTGCCCAAGGCGCTGAGGAACCAGGACGCAAAAGCCAGAAGCGGCAGCCCCGCCTCCACCCCCGTGAGCTCCAACCCGCCCCTCTGAGCGGGCGGTGCCTGCGCATGCGCTGTGAGGAGCCCGTCCTGCTACAGTAGGTGCTGCGGGCCGGTGGGGGGGTTCCGCGTTCGGCTCCGCTCGCGTCCCTCTTCCGTTCGCCGGGCTCTCGGCCTCAGCTCGGCTTCCGTGAGCCGCGCCTCCCCTATGCTGAGGCCGCGTGCTGCCCAGCGTGTCCCTGTCCCTACACGTGCCTCACAGAGGGGCGGCCGGCTTCGGCTCTGCGCTGCCGAAAGGCGTTCTGCTGTATGGTTTCTGGCCGGTCTGGGTTTGATCCTACAAAGCAGTGAAAAAGTACTTAATTAAAATTAAAGAAAAAAAAAAAACGAAAAAAAAACAAAAAAAAACAACATCACCACCAAGTAGGCCTGGTGGATGTGGTGACTTGTTGCCAAAACGTGGTCTTTGTTGGTGTCTGCAGATGCTGCTGTGCGTTTTGGCGTATGGAGGAGTAGCTTAGTTTCACTGGAGAAGCCCTTCGAAACATAACTCGTCTGCTCTGCCAGATAGCCTGCCAGCATTGCTGCCATCGCTGTGCTTAAAGGTTAAGGTCCTCTGTAACCTTTTGGATTAAAAATTAGAGCTTTGTTATATACGCAAGCCTGCAAGGGAGAACCGAGAATTGATACTTACAAGGTGGAACGTACAGAAAGACGTGGTACTCACTGCAGCATTTTACTATTGTTTCCAGCATAGGGATGAGACGGTTGTGCCTCTCTACTGCTGAAAGGATAAACTCCGCACTCTGCCTGTGCCTGATAGCAACGTGAGCGTTTAATCCAGATCTGCAACTTAAGAAGAGAGCTTGGTACGTTGCCTTGTGCTTTCCTGTCACCTCTGTGCTGCTGAGGCCAATGTCAGTTGGCCCTTGTCTCTGCTTGCCTCGTCTGGTGAGTTTGGAACCTGATGATTTGGTAACTTCTCTGCCTAGCAGCTGTATGCAATTTCAGTCTCTGTACCCTAGATTTTGCAACTCATAAGTGGAATTACTGCTTTTCTCCAAAAGGAATCAGCCATGGCCGAAGACTCTCAAAGAAACTTCCGCTCCGTCTATTATGAAAAAGTGGGGTTTCGTGGAGTTGAAGAAAAGAAGTCACTGGAAATTTTGTTAAAAGATGACCGATTGGGCAAGTTGATGTCAATGTTTCCTCTATTGCTTTGGTGATTTGGCATGTGGATGGGGAGGGAGTCATGCATGGTGTATTGCTGCTGTGCTTAGAGCACATTAAAGTTTTACATCCTTTACCAAGGATTGTTTTTTTCTATCCTTTTCCATCTTTCCTATTTCATCTCTCAGTACAAGCAGTCCCTTGAGTTTCAAGGGTTTGAGAACCTGATTTTTAAAGAGTATCAAACATCTGCATGTTTGGCATTTTTTTTTTTTTAAATTCTCATTCTCTATGGTCAATAAGCTTAAAGGTTTTTTTTTTTTTTTAATGAAAACAGTTTCCATCTGAAAATATATTGTCTCCTGCTGTTAATTCCATCTAGCCTTGTAACAGTGATGGTTTTGTTATTGATGCTTGTCTTTTATTAATGCCATATCTTTAATAGGATGGAAAGATAGATGTCCCTTTAGCAAAGTCCCTAATTGCTTTGAGATAGCAACACAGTTTACAAAATGATTATAAAAATGGTAGTTTCTTCCTGGTGAGACGTAGGGTAGCTTTAGTTGTATTGTAAATCAAGTCAATGCAGGTTTCTCTAGGAGGTTGTGGATGCCCCATCCCTGCAGGCATTCAAGGCCAGGCTGGATGTGGCTCTGGGCAGCCTGGTCTGCTGGTTGGTGACCCTGCACACAGCAGGGGAGTTGAAGCTAGATGATCATTGTGGTCCTTTTCAACCCAGGCCATTCTATGATTCTATGATTTTTTTCAGAGGAAATAGTGTTGCAGTTTATTAGACACATTCTATTCTCAACTGAGCAAGTAAAAGCATTTGTTAATAATATGCCATGTAAGTGTGGATTTTGATCCTAGTATTTGTCATATTTAGATAAGCAGAGACTCAAAACTGTTATTCTATTAAAACTTTTTTTATCTTAAATTTTTATTTCTCTACAGATATTGAGAAGCTTTGCACCTTCAGTCAGAGGTTCCCTCTCCCATCCATGTATCGTATACTGGTGTGGAAGGTTCTTTTAGGTATGAAACAATATCTGAATAAAGCAGTGATTAAGTTTAAAAATCTTGGCAAGCTATGCAAATGTATGTTTATGTTTTGGAGAAGTTGTGTTCTGTAAGATCTTGGTTTGAAGATTACTTCTGTTTTTTGTTTCTGGCTTTAAATGATATTTGCTGTTTAAGAAAATATGAGGCCGGAGAAAGTATATAGCCCAGAAACCATGAAAAATAAAACACGAAGCATGCAGAGATTCTATTCTCCTTGGAGTTTGATAATCATGTGATCAATTGAAAGGCGCTAGTGACTTTTCACTAAGTGGTCAAGTGTGTTGGATTTACTGGATTTGGGACCATGACACTTGGAGGTGGGGCAGATTGTGGAGGGTCCTGGAGTTCTGACTCACAAGAGGTATCAGGAGAGGTTCTCTTAGAGGGCTGAATGTAAGAAACACTGCCAAATTGAGTGTGAAACAGGGTGCATGACTGAATCTTTGGAAGAGAAAGGTGATCTACTGCACTATTGATGATTGAGCGTCACGCCACTGTTGAAAAGCTTGAGTATGTCTTCTTTTTGTTCTTGGTGTCCACATGCCACTACACGTGGAGCTGGAAATAATGTATGAGAAAGCCTTATCTGAATTTTAAAGAATCTTTTAGAATGGTTTTCTCCTCCGCCCCCTCCAATTTCCTGCAATTTAAGAATCATACCTTCATTTTAATGGTTCACTTCGTACACCTCGATGTTGTCCCAGGTGATGTGGTATGTCAGAGATGTCTCTGTTGACCTCTCGTTCACATGTGACTCAGGATGGTGTTGAGGCTGAAATAGTTTCTAGACATGCCAGTGTTGAGATTCTTTTGTTTGACTGTAGGAGTCTTCTCTGTTTAAGAAGAGGAGTTGGCAGTGTGTAACATAACACAGATGTTAACTGCTTTTGGATCACATAAAAATGTCTTGCTCCATCCCAGCTTTTGCAGTGCAAATAAGTTTGCAGTTGGGAAATAAAAGATAAGTTACTGTCTGTTGTGCTTGATACTAGACCTCAAGCATGTCATGGTTTAACACTTTGACAGCAATTCATCCCCCCTTCCCTTTAAATGAAATATGAAAGCAGCGGGTAGCCTGCTTTAAGACTGGGTTTTGAAGAATGTCTTGTTCTCATGGGTTTCTACAGGAAGAATTCTGCTCCATTGGTGATATGAAAATGGTGCTTCTTCATTTTGATGTTTCTAAGATCTTCTTTCTACTGTAGCCGGTGACAGCTTTGTTGTGAGCACTGCAAGATTCAGCTTTGAGTTAGAATCATAGAATCACAGAATGGCCTGGGTTGAGAAGGACCACAATGATTATCCAGTTTCAAACCCCCCTGCTATGTGCAGGGTTACCAACCACCAGATCAGACTGCCCAGGGCCACGTCCAGCCTGGCCTTGAATGCCTTCAGGGATGGAGAAGGAAACAAAGAAATGCTCAGCATTTCTTCTGGATGTCAGAAACAAATTTGTTTTCTCTGCCTCTCCACTTGGATGTATACGTATCTGTTTTCTCTGTTGAGAAAGCCAAAAGCCCTGCATCAAAAGGTGCTTGGATGGTATTCTTAAATTCTGATCTGCGGTTGGTTCAACCACGTGGTTGATTTTGCTTCTAGGTGTGATTTTAGAGAGGATTAATTTCTATAATACGGTGTGCAAAGGTGTTTCCAGCAGAGATCTAACATTAAACTAAGTAATAAAACTGTAATGTATAGCATCTTTGCATTAGTTAATTGTATGTATATTCTCTGCCAGGTCCTACATTTCCGTAGGCTGGAGTGTTAGTAGGAATTGAAGTTAGACTCCTGGAAAGAGAGTTTTGATGTTTTTTTCTTAATGAATGCTTTTCTTTCTTTATTATTATTATTATTATTATTATTATTTTTAGGAATTATTCCTCCTCACCATAAATCTCATGCTTTGGTGATGAACTACCGGAAGGAGCAGTACTGGGATATCCACCATGCTCTTCATGTAATTCGTTTTATCAGTGACTCTACCCCACAGGTAGATGTTTTCCTCCGCATACATCAACTGGAATCAGGCAAATTGCCTCGAAACTTGGCTTACCCTTTGGTAAGTTTCCATTCTAGTAGAATTTAAGTCACAGAATCATAAAATCACAAGGCTGGAAAGGATCTAGAACATCACCTAGTCCAACCGTTCTCCTATCATCATTACTTCCCTCTGAGCTACTAAAGCATATCTCGCAGCACCTCATTTAAATAATTTAAAAATTTTAGAGTAATTTGCTTTTAAATCCAGATATTAATATTCTGCCTTCCTTTTTCTGTTAGTCTGAACTGATCTGGGTCTGTCTGTCATGTACTCTCTGGTTTACAGTATGCCCGCTCGTGGGTAAACAGGTTTGTATTTTTTGTCTGTAGTGTGATGACAAGTGTGTGGGCTTCATATATAAGCCTCTGTAAAAGGAGAGGTCATGAAAGGAACCATGAACTTTCTGAAGGAGCCATTGCCTTATTTTTTATGTTCACTTTCCATGCTCTCTTGAGCCCAGCTTTATTACTCTTCATCTATAGAATAGAGTGTATCTGTAGAATAGTTAGCTCAGCTCTATCCTGTGTGCAGTCACATCTGGAACTGTGTTTTAGGCATCCTCATAGTTCTTATACCGAGGATCTTTTCTTCTGGAGAAAATGAAATAGTCTGCCCATCACACACTTCTAGATTTGTATTGTGAGGAATAACAGACTCATCATCTGGAAAAGTTGCTTATTTGTCTCTGGGAAGGTGTTTTATCTCAAATCAAATAAATAAGATGAAGGTAGCTCATGGCTGCCTTCTTTTCTTCTGTAATTAATATCCATGACAATGGTGTTTGAGGGGCCTGTTTGGCAAGGGAAAGGAAAAAAAAATCTGCTGGTTTAAAATGTGGGTTATAGAAATAGGAATATTGCAGTGCCATCAGGAGATGAATTCTCATTTGACAATATTTGGGAACTTTGAATCGCAGTTGATCCAAACTCCTGTTGAGTGATTTGTTTTAAAAACAAGACAAATCTTATTTGCTCTTCTTTATTAGATATCTGTCACTATAATGCAGCTGTTTCCCAGTGCTTTATTTATAAATATGTCAGGGACAGCTGGCATTTCTCTTTATATACTTAGATTCCATTCTCTTTTTGCCAAGAGCAGGGAAAAGGAATGTACAGATAATGTGAGTTGTACAGTCTAATTCTACTGTGTGTTTAGTTCGTTTTTCACTTTGTTTTCCAGGAACCAGAAGATGAAGTGTTTCTTGCAATTGCTAAGGCAATGGAGGAAATGGTGGAGGATCCTATAGAATGCTATTGGCTTGTCAGTTGCTTTGTGAATCAGCTTAACAGCAAGCACAAAGATTCATTACAACAACTAGTAAGGATAAAATACTTGTATGTGTGTGAGAGAGAGAAAGAGAGAGAGGGAGAGGAAAACTGTAAGAGGGAGAGAAGTAAACAAGTCCTGGGAAGCATGCCTTCTGAGCATTCTGGTAGGCACAATGAATAGAGACAGCTGGAGTGTCAGGCCAGTACCTGTGGATTCTGTTCTGGCAGCAGTTCCATGTGGAAGGAGCAGTGCTTTTGGAATTGTGGCTGTATTATCTGATAGGTCACTTTGCCTAAAGTAACTAAATTGCCTAAAGAAAAAAATTGGTTTTGTTTGCTACATTGTAGTTCTCAATTAGGTTTTTTTTTTTTAAGCTTACATTTAAGCTTACATTGCATTTGGATGAGTTATTTCTCAGTCACTTTGGAGTTTTGTTTAAAACAAAGATGTAAAAAGCTTAAGAACATTTAGATTCATGTCTGCTGCTTTTCTGGCTTGTCCTTCAGAGTCCAATACTGCTCACCCAGTACTGGGTGATAATGAGGCAAAGCACAACATTTTCTAGAAGCTACGTGCCTCAATTACATAGGGAGTATCCCTAAGATGTCATTGTAATACACACATTGTACCAAGGCTGATGGATAAAGGAAGTGTTTTTGTCTTTGACAACTATATTAACTCCTTGTCTTATTATGACAAAAAGTCTAAAGACACTCCAGGATTTATGAAAACATGCATTGTCTTACATTAGAGCTTGAGCAAAATGATAAGCATTCACATTTTTACACCTATTTGTGTGTTTGTCTGTTGCCCTTTCTATACACATTTTGCTTTTAAACAAGAAATACATGCCCAGATTTTTATTTATTGCACAGGGATTTAGTCTGAGAATTGGTTTTCTTGGTTTTGGTGCACTGTGTGTAGGTTGTTAGGCTGTGTGCTAAGGCAATGAGCTTCAAGATGGATGAAACTCTGTTACTTGTGAGGACAACAGTAATTGGTGCAGCGTGAATCTCTGCATTGCCTTAAGCTCTCCAACACCTACATTAGGGAAGAGTGCATGTATGTTTTTGAAGTCCTGCTGGTAGTCAGCAATTTAAGGAACCTGGGGCTGTTTATTGAGTGAGTTCAATTAACAAGTGAATTTCAGAAATCAACAATATTCGTATTTTGGAACACCCTGTTTTTAGTTAAAATAATGCAAATTCATTACTTAAACGTGTCCATGCTTACAGGATTTTGGACGTACTTCTTGTTTTATAGTATTCTATAAGAGTGTGCAGCAGGGAATTATCTAAACTTTTGCCCTTCCTTTCTCAGCCAAAAATTCTGGAGCAGTATTTAAACATTGAAGACAGTAGGCTTCTGATGCATCTGAAGGCATGTGCTGCGATGAGCAAGCTCCCTTATGATCTCTGGTTTAAGAAGTGTTTTGCAGGCTGTTTACCTGAGTCCAGTTTACAGAGGCAAGATTTTTTTTTTTTCCTTTCTATTTGTAATTCCACAGTAATTTTAAATTGCTCTTACCACATGCATTTTACCTGTTGTGTAGTTATGGAGTTAGCTTCATTGCTGACTTGAAAATGACACAATTTTGTTTTGTTCTACTTGTTACTGATACAAGACAAGCTGTTTGTGATCTCTTCTAGCAAGGAAGTTGAATGTAGCAATTTATTCCCTAAGGCACTTCTCACCTCCTAGGATTTAGAACTTCTAATCCCCTATTAGTGATAGATAGCTGAAAGGAGTCAGTTCTCAGGCTTTTAAACTGAAATCCTTGCTTAGGGAGCAATGGTAGTACTGTATCATTATCAGATGAAATAGATTTGGGTAATGTTTATTTGAACAAAACAATATTAGGGCATCACTAGGTTAGTGAAGTCCTTATTCTGCAGTTTGCAGTTTCAGCATTACCCTGTGTGTGGTGTGCTTGTTGTTATATGGCAGGTTCTGCCCACCAAGCACCTGTAAGCAGTCTGTTCTGTGTTGTGGCTCTATAATATGGAGGTTAAAAGCTTTTACTCTTGTTTTAGCTACAGAATCAGAGCATTGGAACTTCTGGTGGCACAACAGTTCTATTTACCAACAATTTGTATGACAACATGATAGATGTGCACTTTGCCTTTGCCAGTTTAGGTTTCTACATTATTCAGTTGTAATCAAAATGGCCATATTTGCTAAGGAAATAACATACTTTGTGGGCAGCGTGTGACAGATGAACTTAATTAATGCTTGGAGATTCAGTTTGGATTAGAATCTGAAAGCCCGAATGCTTATCTGAAATGCATCCAAATGGCAGTATTAGAACTGCTGAGAACTGCAAACAGCTCCCCGGTTCTCCTGTGAGTTTTACTTAATTTTTCAAGTGACAGCTGGTTTGAGCGTGGTGTTTTATGATTTAATTTAACTTCTGATTTAATACTGTATTTCTTAGAGAGGTTGCTTGCTTTGTCTAAGTTGTAGCCCTCTCTGCCAGGCAGCAAAACTGAAATTTCATCTTTTTTTTTTTTTTTTCTAAGATGCACAAGATTTGTGTACACTGTACAGAAATTTTATCCAGTAATGGTGAGATGAAGTGTACATAAGGCCAGCTGTGTTCCTGACAGGGGTTGTCATTTGGTGTACGTACTCTTACAGTGCACTCCTATGCTTAATCATAGCTAGAAATTGCACATCAATTTATTTTAAGTGGATTTGGAAAGCTAATGTAGAGAGCTTTCATGTAGAAACTTCCTTTGAGCTTATGCAGTGTTTTTGCTCTGCTTGCCCTGATGAAACTGACAAAAATGTGACTTGAAAGGTTTGAAAAGTAGACACTGTATGACAGCAGCAAACATTCCATATTATGAATTAAGAAAGACTTTGCTTAAAGGGGTGATGGGAACCCTCATCTGGCCTTTGAAGCTCATTATGCCTGCATTGTGTTCTCATGGCATTCCAGGCTGAAGTGCAAGTTCTTCCAAGAGAAGAGGTCATGCCAAAATTGAATTGTCTTTTGAAGAAACACACCTGCAGATCCGAGTTTATAGGTGGGCTATAGGAGATGTTTTCCAGTTACTGTATTCAGAGATTATAGAGAATGGTGTGTGATCTCTGTCTCCCGTGGTTTTATTTGAAAGGAGAAACACTTTTCACAAGTACCTGAATGGATTAAAGAAAAGGAATCCTCAGAAGGTCTTTCTGACACAGCTCTTCAATGTGAAGAACTGAAAATAATGCAGGAACATTAAAGCTGCCATCTGACAGATGGTCTCACACTGGTTTTGGATAATCTTTCATCCCGTGTCTGTTGAGTTGGGCCTGAAATAGAGCTGCTGGATGAAGGGTTTCAAATTGTTGCAGGCTGTTTTAGTACTGTGAACCTCTCCCAGTAGTTATAGAGGTTGTTGCTAAAGAACGTGCATTCTGTGAAGGCCTGGTCTTCTGGTTTCCTTAAAGCTGTGAGGTCCAGGCCTGCCTCTTACAGGTGGTAGGAGTGCTTTGTAGTTCTGAGAGACTCTGTGCACAGTGGAATGAGTTGCAACACTTAAATCTGGTACAAGGAACAACTGTTAAACATTATGGCCTGTATCTTGCTGATAATTATATCTTCTAGAGAAATGACTTGGGATATTTGGCTGCTTGAGATGTAGTGATTGAGGATTTCATTCTTCTGAGTGTTCATTTACCTGACTATTTGAAGAATCTCATTATTGAGCATGCTAGCAAATTGTTTCTTTTTTTGCACTAGGAAATATTCTCACCCTTACCACACCATATGGAATAGTTGTCACAGTTCAGGCTGTTAAAACATGATTTGCTTTTTGCACTTGAGCTTGTAAGCAGTTCCACTTCTAAACAAGGACATGCCATATTAATACATTTGCTTGCCATCACTCAGTACAGATTGAGGAACTGATAAAATATCTTTCATTGACTGTGACCTGAATAATTCAATATGCTTATTGCTAGTCAGGAAAATAATCTGAAAAAGGTAATTGTACAAACACTGTTCTAGCAGATATACAAGCAGATAAAGACTACAGTAATGCTTAGTGATTCCTTTATCATTTCTTTTTCCAGGGTTTGGGACAAAGTAATTAGTGGATCCTGCAAAATTCTCGTTTTTGTTGCTTTGGAGATATTGTTAACCTTTAAAATGAAGATAATCGCGCTGACCACTGCAGAAAAGATCACCCAGTTTTTGGAAAATGTAAGTGAAATGTAACATTATACTCTGTGCTGTGCAATTACCTTGCATGGCCCATAAAAATGTCTTTTGGCCTCGGTCATTTGTTGTTTTAAACATACCAGAAGAAGGGATGAGAGGAATAGTTTCTGTCAGGAGGTAAGGCTTCCATAGAATGAAGGGATTGTAGGCTCTGGGTAATATGTTATTTATGTTTGTGCAGATTTGACACCATTCCTTCTGATAATAACGTGGTTTGTTTGTTTTTTTTTTCTTGTAAAAATAAGCATGGATGAAGTTGGATTAATTTTTCCAGAAGTGAGAACTGGTGTCTTGCACCCCTTCTGTTCCTTTTCTGGGCATGAACCTGTAGGCTCAGGGCATGCTTTTTGTTGTTTTGGCCTTGGGATCTTAAACCTAGCCCTGAACTTTCCCTTTGTGGAAAGACATGAGTGTGACAGCAGGGTTGTAGGAGCCTCATGTGACCTAGGGTAGCTGGATTGGACGTGTTTATGGTCGTGGATGGGCCAGTGTAAGTCCTGTCTGATGACAGATGAGGGGTGTAAAGTAAGAGAACCTTGGGTTCTCCTGTTTTGTCTCTAAAGCTTGGGGATGCTTATAGGATGTGAGGGATGCTAGGGCAGGGAGGTGGGACTGTAGTTTCTCTTTTGTATAAAGAGATGAAATTTGAATTGGAGATTCAAAATCTGTATTTAAAATGAAACAGTCCACATAAAATGCATTGACAAGGCATCTTAACTCAATCTTTTGTAGATTCCTCAAGATAACACTGATGCTATTGTCAGCAAAGCTGTAGATCTGTGGCGCACACACTGTGGGACTCCAGCACACTCTGTCTGACAACTTTCCCCACTTATGACAGCTTGGAAAAAAAAAGCATTTAAAAAGTTTCCTCTTGCTGTTCTTCCCTCTTTGTGGTGTAATGTTCTTCCTTTCCTCTCCAATTTGAAGATGCTATTAAAGCATTTCATGGCATAGTGATCAATGTTTTTCAATAAATATGGATGGAGTGAAAATACTGAGTGGTATATGATGATGCCTAGGGCATTTTAATCCAGCCAGCTACACTATTCTGATTGCACAGTGTGTTCTATGGCTTTTGGGGAAGTAAATCTAACTCCTGGAGCAAGGTGAGTAGGCTGACTTGTAGAAAATACTTCTGTATGCCAGCTTATACTTGATAGAACTAGTTACTACTTGGAGGGGCTTTTAAGGTGAATGCGTAGTATCTCTTATTTTGCTGGAACTCAGTGGTGAACAAAGCACGTTCCTTTGCTGGAAATTTAAAAGTACTCTATCAAAACCATAGATTTGCAGGTAAATGCAAAAGAGGCATCACGAATTTGAGACAGAGAAAGACATCACAGTGACCAGGTGAGTCGTATTTTTCTGAAATATCTTAGAAGTGCTTTCTTCCTGTCTGCCAGTGAACTGTTATGGCTGTACTTTGTTTGTGCTCAGTGAAAAATGCTCCTGAGAGGTGCTCAGTGGTTTGGCCAAATTAAATTTTACTGTGCAAATAATGAAGAGCTTTTCCTTCTCTTAAGTTTGTAGTCAATACTGCAATCTTAAGGCTTGAGAGAGGAGGAGGCATCTTTGGAGTGTCTGGATATTTGGATAGTAGATGTACTGAAGAATTATTATTTGAAAAGAAAACACTGCTATGTGTAAAGCAGGAGCTTTGGCTACCTGCTGGTTTCCTCATTTTATAATGGCAAAATAATATGGCCAGCAAGTCATCATCTCATTTAGGTTCATGATTTGAAATGTTTCTAAGGGAGGTTGGGTCTGGAACGGGACCTGTCCTGTTCAGCTCCTTTATCTGTGATGTAGGACAAGTGATGGAGTGCTTATTCCATTTAACATCTGCAGGTGAAACCAGACTGAGCGTTGATTATCAGGTGATACAGCAGTGGCAGGACTGTAGGTGTAAGCTGAAATGAGGGTTTTCAGGCTATAGGGAAAAATTTTTCTCCCATGAGGACAGTCAAGCAATAGATACAGCTCATAGAAATTGTACAGTTTTCACTTTTGGGAGATTTCCAAGTTCCAACTGGTCATGTTCCTGAGCAGTTTGGTCTTACCCCTTAGCAGGCCTTGCTTTGAGCAGCAGGTTAGATGAGAGACATGCAGAGTCCTTTCCAGCCTGATGTACCTTGTTATCTGTCCTATACTGATGTGTAACTTTTGGCAAGTATGGAAGAAATCAGTGAAAGGACTAATTATAATTCAGAATTACAGGCAAGTAATAAAATACACCACTGAGCATGACTCAGGGACTACATAGATATTTCATATTTACTGCATTTATTTGTTGTGGCTTGAATTTCTTGTTGCTTTATGCTTGTTTGGTTTAGTTTTCAGAATAAGTTAGATGCAGAAATGTAATTTATGATGCAAGTGAAAGCAGAGAGTGATCCTGTGAAAGTGTAAAATTACATTTCCACACCTCATACAGACCACAGAATCATGTATAAGAATACCTTACTTAGTTATTTGACTCTGAGGTGCTTCTATGCCAAGTACATTTGCTGCTCCTCAAAGAGTGTATTTAGTTTGTACTCGGGGCAGACTTCAGATGCTTTAGACATTTAAATTTGTTTCAAACTAGGTCAGGTTTACCTTCCAGCAGGTTAGCTGGGGAAGTGTGGAGCTCAGCTCAGGTTATAGGAAAGAACCCGGTGAGATGATCTGTGTGAGATTTTGAATGCTGCCCTTAGTGCTCCTGAAATGCCTGAGTCTGCCTCATTCAGAAAAAGCTTGTTTGTGTCTGCTTTGATAGCACTGCTGTGTCTGCACTGTAGTGTAGTGTAATCCATTCAGCTCACTTCAAAAAGGAGCTTGTTTTTCTAGAGTAGGTGTGGAAGCTGAATAATGTGGTTAAGAAAGAGTGTATATGTTCTGTGAATAACAGCACTTCTTTCTGTACCATTCAGTGCACAAGTTTTTCAACTAAGCAGCAGTGGTGCAGTCAGAGAGTGCTTATTTGAACATTTTTCCCTTAGGATGCACAGCTTACCAAAAGTAAGTTATGTATGCATTATTCCAGCCTTTACACTGCAGATTACTAAAAAAAACCCACTCACACAAAAAACAAAAGCCAAGCACTGATGATGCGGAAGGTGTTGAGCAGTTTCAGTGCTGAAGGGGAATCAATATTCTGTGAAGAGAGAAGCCCTGAATCAAGATTAAAAGTGCCACTCAGTGTTACTGCTTTCAGATTAGTCAGAATGTATTCCTCCAATCACCGTTGGACTGAAAACTGAAAGTTTTTTTTATTTTTAAACTTTCTGCTTTTAATTTGGAGAATCCTTCTCAATCGGTGAGTAACCCTGGAGCTGCTCTGACAGGCACAGAATTGGCACAGCATCACAGACTGGCTGAGGTTGGACAGGACTGCAGCAGGTCGTGATTTAGCGGAGGGTTGTTACAGTTAGGGTAGGTTGTGCTTGGACTTGTTGATCTTTAAGATCTTTTCCTGAGCAAATCTATGATTCTATGCAAAGAAATAGCAGGATTATTTCTATAACAAAATACATTATTTATTCTGGACTATGCTGAAGAAAGGAAGCTCTCCAGATAATGAATAATGGCTCATCTCCATGCTGCTTTCACTGATCTTAGTAGATGTTTGTGTATATCTTAATCTGCAGCTTTTACTTTGGATTTGTGAGGCATATGTTTTATCCACAAAAAAACCCCACCAAACCTTACTGACTTCTTAAAAGGTTGAAAGTTTGAATGTGGCTTACTAATTTGTTTATAGTGACGTCTGCTCAGTTGAATGTAATAGTTTAGCTCTGAAGCCTGCTTTCTAAGAGAATGGGAGAAATGTGAGTTGTCACTGCTCCCATCGTGTAATGAGCAGATTTGAGTTCAAAGCAAGGGTCTTTATAGTCCCAGCTTAGAACAGAGTCTCCCTTTGGAAAGTGGGGAACAGTTGCTCTCACAGGGAGGTGAGGCACTGGCACAGGCTGCCCAGAGAAGCTGTTGGGTGCCCAATCCCTGGATGGTGACCATGTTGGATAAAGATTAGTCTAGTGGGAGGTGTCCAGAGGGCTTGGAACTAAACAGTCTTTAAGGTCCCTTCCAACCAAACCATTCTCTCATTCTATGATGTGCTGTGCTAACATTTGCTCTTTGTCCTTTTGCACTAAAGCACTGCTGTAAATGCAGTTTCTAGATGTATGTTTTTAGTGGACAATCCCAATTTGGTCACTTAGCTACTACAGATTATTATTGTTACAGTTTCCTTTCAGTTTCACATAGTTGTGCGCCCTACTGAAATCCCTAGCTAAGTAATTCAAGGCAAATGGTTAGCTTTCAAATTTGTTTTCTTTTCACCCAGTGTCTTTACAGGAGCATGCTGATGAGTCATCTGACAGTCATTTTCCTTCTTTCCTGAGAACCTTGAAACTCATTTTTTTTCTTTATTCACGTTGTTTCTGCTTGACTGACTGAGTATGCAACTGCTTACTGCCCACCTGTTTCTCCATACAGAACTAGCAGCTTAGTTGTATTTTTTTTTTCTTTTTCTTTCCCCAGAGACAATAGAAACAACACTGGAGCACTCACTTGGGAGAGTGAAAGCCCCTCCCTCTTCTTCCCATGCCAAATATCTTTGTGGACTTTGCTTTGGTCCAGTTCTCCCCTCAAGCAGTGCCTTCCCTCCAGAGAGGTTGAGAGGAATGCCACATCTGTGCTCACCCATGTTGCATGCACCAGTTCTTGTTCAATTACAGTCCAAATAACTGATGGAAATTCCAGATAAGAAAAGTAATGGCAGATGTCAGAGGATGGTGCTTTAAAAATGATCACAGAATCACAGAATGGTTTGGGTTGGAAGGGACCTGGAAGATCATCTGGTTTCAACCCCCTGCTATATAGGCAGGGACACCTCCCACTGGACCAGGTTGCTCACAGCCCCATCCAGCCCAGCCTTGAATGCTTCCAGGGAAGGAACATCCATATTGTGTCTGGGCAACCAGTTCCAGTGTCTCAGCACCCTCACAGTAAAGAATTTATTTCTAATATGTACTTGAAATGATGAGTAATTTGAACTCCAGTGAAGGGCTTGAAAACATGGAAAGAAATGGAGGAGAATGTGGAGTTAAGTGTCTGAGATAATAACTCAGAGGTTGGTAAAGTAACAGTGATACATCAGGCATCTGTGGGTAGGAGATCAGCTGGTAAAAACTGGGTTCATGTTGAATGAGGGATGCTTTCACAATGTAGTTACCTTTACAAGATAGCTGCTTAGGCCTGAGTGTCCTAGTGGTTCTTAAGTTTGTTGTTATAGCTGGAAATCCCTGTGCTGAAGAAGAGCCCTACTGCTCTGTGTGCTATCCTGCCTCACCTTGAGCTGGACAGGGCAAGTTGGTATCCAATAATGGATTTCACAAAAGCCAATCCAAAACTCTGTATTTTCCTAGCTGAGCAGCGCAGTGAAATGCTCTCTGTTAGGCTTTTGGTACAAGAGAGTATGGGGGAATGGAGTTGCTTCTCTTTCATGTGCTAATCGTTAATCCAGGTTATTGGTGGGGACCTCTGGGAAAGGAATCTGCCTGGCTAGGTGTCCTGTCCAGTGCTGTCTATTGCCTCTACTGCAGTGGTCCACATTAGGAGAGGTGGAAATGCTCCTCACCTGGGGCTGCAAAGACAGCAGATTAACTGTGTGTGTTTGGAGCTAGCTTCTAACTGCCACCAGTCAGGTTTGATGAATCCACTTGATGAATCTCCTTGATGAAACTTGGACACTCATCAAATAGAAGCAATTACTGTATTTCATGTCACTGTAACAATAGATATCAGAAGAGAGACTGCAAGCTGCACCTTGCTGTTGGGTGTTTCTGTGGGCCTACCATCAGAGGGCACATCTCTCAAAGTGGTTTGAAGCAGCTGATAAAGGTGAGCTGGATCCTGGAGGCTGTGTCTGATGGAGAGAGCTGACTTTTTTTCAACCCTTCTCTCGATTTCCTGCCTGCAGGTGGCATTAGATAGCAATTTGATTGCAGGTAATGAGAGGACTTCACTGAATACACTTCTCTCTTTCCTGAGGCTAGTTTTACAAAAAGCTGAAGTCAAAATGTAAAAACACAGCCCTGGTGTAGGGATCCTTGTGGAAGAGGTTGGCTTCTCACATTCCTTGTACATTGCAGCCCTACCAATGTATATATATATTTAATGCACCGAAATTCCTGTATGTAACTAAAACACGATCTGATCCTGCTTTGAAATCAGTAGTTGGGGGAAAGGGGATCTTTAGTCAAAACTAATGATTTAAAAAAACAACCACTTACTCATCCACATCTCCCAGGATAGCTACGGACTTGTTGGCTTCTAGAATGGGAAATACACACAAACAACTGGAAGGAGGTGAATGAAAACATACCTGAATGGAAGCAAACAGAGAAGCCCAGTACCAGCCTTTTGATCATGGAATGTATCTGTGCCAGCAACGCATATCAGCAGAATTTGGTCAGTTAAAGTAATGCTTCCCAGCTATTGAAACTACTGGGATTTGGGTCGGAGAAATCAGAGGATGGAAAGGCCACATGAGTGTAGTGGGATGGGCAGGTATGGCTGCTTTGCTGAACAGCAATAATGCTTGTACTACTAACAGGCATTTTCCTCTAATCACACTGTGATGTTTTTAGATCTCTATGTGTGTGCCTACTGCAGACTGCCGATTTGGTTCTTTCTTCATTAGCCTGGTGTCGGTACAGCTTTGGAGCCGAGCTGAATCATTGTCCCTTGTCCACATTCACTGAACCGAGAGGCTCAGCCAACGCAATTGCAATGACCCATAGACCTGCCCTGGTAAGGCCAGCTCCTCTGCCATGCAGGGAGCAGGGGACTGCTGCCTTCAGCTGTGCCAGTCACTGGGACAGTGTAAGAAAGCACACAGATACTTGAATTTTTGTTTTTAAATGATTTTTTTTTAAGAAACTGCATACATCAGGGACAAACAATAATTTAAATAGCATGCAGTTTCAGTATGTACAAAACCTAGGACATAGAGATCCAGCTTAATTTTTTTTCTAGTTATTTACATTGTTTTCATACAGCCATAATCTGTTAAATTACAATACTGGAAGAGCACATGATTGACAGCCACCACACTCACTCCTATACAAAGACAAACTATATACATACACTTGGATATCAACTGGCAAATGCAACTGGTGCAGGAGTAACTGGGACACATGGGAAAGCAGGTAGTGTGCCCGTCACCTCCTCTTTGCTTACAGAAGTTGTTCCAAGCTCAAGCAGGCTGAACACCTGGGAAAAATTATTTGTCCCCTTTTTTCTTTCCTGATTTTTTTTTTTCATCAGCGTAGTCATTTCCCATGGCTATTCAAAGTGATGGTATTTGCAGGCACGTTAGGGAGCCCCTGTCCACATATAACTACGGGTTTTCCATCTTGCCCTTTTTTGTGTGAATGCAAGCGTTAATGTAACTAGGCAGGCTGGAAGTGCTCCCACTCTTGGTCTGTAGTGTTTCCACTGTACAGATGGCACAGTAGAAATAGTGGATGGTGAGTTTGGTGGCCAGTTGCAGTGGTGATGAAGTGCTGTGGTTTTACATGTAAACCTTAGGCTGAAATGTATCTGTGGAATGGGCTTACTACCAAGCTTCAGCTGACATAAAATTGTTAATAAAAATCTATTAATTATTTTTTTTCCTTCTTCCTCTTTCAGTAACGTCTAGAGTGTGCACCTGGAACTGTCCAGACCAATTGTCTGAGCCCTATCCCAGGGAGCATCAAGCCTAAAACTATTTCAGCATGCAAGTACTTAACCAATGGTGCCTAGGGTGGAGAAAGGCCACAACACCAACCTTCCCCCTTGATCCTGAGTCCTTTGCCAGGTCCCTGTAGTCCAGCCCTGGCAAGAGTGTGGGTGAGAACTCAATGCCAATGTTGTGCTACATTGTCATTGCTTTTTTCCAAATCACAGAACTTTCATCTAGAAGTTCTGCAGTTGCTGTTTCAATTCTTTCTTCCTTCCTGCTCAGTTTCCAGCTCATCTTTCAACAGGCCATAGGATAGGTCTTGTTACTTGTATATTTTAAGTATGAATAACCCACAATTCAGCAAATAAAAAAAAAACTTGACTCTCATATATTATTACATCCATTATCAGCCCTGGAATACCAGTTTTTGTTCCGTGTTGACTTTTTCCATTCTCTAAATGTGATGTAGTTTATTGCTACTGCTAATCTCTTCCTAATATGAAAGAAAACAGGTTAAAACACTGGACTAGCTGTTCCCCAGCCTATGTGCAACTTCCCAAGAATGACAGAGTTGGGTCTGCCCATTGAGGACATGCTGTGATATTCAGGCACTGACAAGTTCTTGAAGAATGCCTTGTCATAGGATAACTTTGCAAAATACCCCAAACTGCTGGAGCTAAAGCCAGGCGAGGTGCCAGTTCTGCAGTGCTTACTGTCTTAACATTTCATATTGCTGCTGCTTCCTCTTCTTTCTCCTTTTCAGTAACAGGCTATACTTATGAGTTGGGGGAAATCCAGCAGTTCTTCCACTGTTTCCTTGTGTCTGCTTGGACTGTTAGAAGTGAATATAATTAAAAAATAAAATAAAAGCATTGCCCTGGGGACAACATGAATCCTGAGGCAGCCAGAGGTCAGCAGGAGCTTGCTTTGGGCCCATTGGCCAAAGGCCTGCTGGCTGGTGACTGACCAGCATTTATTGGCACCTGGCTGTTATGCCCCTCAACCACTGCTGCAGGGCTTGTTTAGGCTACCAGCTGGCAGAGGTGGGTGCTGTCAGGGTCAGTAGCAGTATGAGATGTTGCCCACAGACTACCCATTCCCCTGTAGACCTTAGCACTGACAACAGCCTGCTACTTCTACCTCTTTTCATTTTAATAATCAAATTAAAAAAATAAAATAAAATCTCCTTTCCCTCCTACTAGCCTATTCCATCCTGCAATCTCTGTCACTGCTCTCCTTCCCATTCATACCGAACCTCTAGGCGTGTGAAGCAATGGTGCTAGGCACCATAGGCAGGGGAAAGGAGGGCTGGTTGCTCCTCAGCCATTCTGCAGAGCCCCTTCCTGCTGCTGTGCAGTTAAAAGCCCAGAGGCTTTTTTTCCCCCTTTCTTAAAGCCTGTGATGCAGTCTTGTTACATATATGTGTGATTAAATTCAACCACCATGATCCCCAGCTTTTCAAGAACATAACTGCAAGGCAGTGTCTGTCTGGCTATCAGCGCTCTCAGATGCTGCCTCTTGTCTCCAGTGGAGCACATCTGTGAGATACTGAGTACCACTAAGTGCAAATGGAGCCTGAGCGTTGTTTGGGCAGGCTGAGTGCATTTCCATGGGCTGTGTGCAGGTTTTTTTGCACCAGAGGAATGAAACTGAGGCCTGAGATGAGGCAGGAGTGCTGGGCATTATGCACTATTGGCCAGAAAATGCTCATGCAAGAGAGAGGCCTCTTGGCCCACGTTCAGTGAAGGGCAAGCTTAGCATGGAGACAGAGTGGGAGCACAGAGGGATAGATAGATACTGGAAGACAGAAAGGGAAAAAGAAAAAATAACAGAAAAAACGGTGCTTTAGTTAAACTCTGGCCTCTCCGTTCAAATCTTCTAAGCATAATAGCTATTATGGAAATAAAAAGGTGTCCTGAAGTAATAATCTGGAACTTACAGTAATGTTGCTATTGTGCTTTGGATCACTGACCCAAAACAGTGTAATAGCTTCTTGTGAGAGCTAGAAAGGACTCGTAGGCAATGCTTGCCCATGCTTACTGGCATTGCACTTGGGTTAAGGACTTGAATCTAAAAGGTGTTGGCCTACATCCAGAAAAGCACTTAAATGTGTTCAGCTTCAATGAAGCCTGTGAGACCTGGTCTGGATTTCAGTGAGACTGTCTGCATGCTTGTTTAGCATTAAGCACACACTCAAGTAGGCAGGTAAGCCAGGCCCAGAGCATCCAGCTCTCTGTGCCCTACTGGGTCAGTTCATATGTTAAACCTCTACGGTAAAAACAAATAAAAATACAACAACAGGCCCCTGGATTTCTGTCCTTATGCTTCAGCTGCACGTACCAGTGAGGAGTCCCACCATCCATACCAATGCAACAGCCTTCCTTTGTTAGGCTAGTTGACATACCATCATGCTTTTCTCAGTACACATTTAGGATCAGTTCTTTATACCTGGCATAGGGAGGATAACTGTCCCCCATCAGCCCCCAGTTTTCCCATGGTGTGCCCTCTGCAGCACAGGTGGCAATCCCAGCCCTTCTTGCTGCTGGAGGTGTGTTGGCCCTCACACAGTCATGAGGCTTGAGCATAAAAACAAGCTACAGCCTGAGAGAATACCATGCAGTGACCACGCAGGGAGTCCTTTTTTCTTCTTGGGAGCCAACTGTTGCCATATGCTTTTCCAGGGTAGGCAAGCAAGCAGCTTCAAGTCAGATGATGGTTGCAGATGAAACAGCCCACAGAATAGTTTTGCTTCTTCTCTGTCCTCGTAAGGTGCTTGCAGACTGAAAGGAGCGTTTGGTATAAGGAAGTGCTTTAGTGCCATAGGTGCAGGTCTACTGGAGACTTCACCCAGGCCCGTGGTTCCCTGGATACCATCTCAGGGCTCTCTCAGGTTGACAACAGAGGCTTGCCAGGGTGAAGGGTACCTGAAGGTGAACTAATGGATGCCCCACCAGCCGGGCTTGAACACGTATGGCAAATCCACATGCCAGGAAAGTCTTACACATAAATGCTGCGTCTTGGCACGATTCCCACCAGGGGTATTTTCTGTAATTGAAGCTTGAGCCAGCAGGTCTGATGATGCTGCAGTACCCATCACATGTACATACAATTTTCTTTTATATTTTTAAATATTCATCTACTTTTTTTCTTTTTGTAGAAAGGCAGTTTGTAAGATTTACATTGTACATAACAGGGAAGTGAATAATACCAGCACTTATGGTTCCTTTTTGTTATGTTTTGAAGACAGCATAGTAGTTCAGGTAGAATTTAACTGCTACGGTCTGTGAAACCTAAAATGCAAGGGAGGGAAAAAGAAAGAAAGAAGTAGTAAGATAATATTTTCACATGTATGGTACAAATTAAAAGGAAAAAAAAAAGACCTAATTGCTACAAAATTATGCAGCTGGATTCCTGCAGTACTGACATCACCATGTTGGCACTGCAGAATTAGAACAGAGATGGAAACTTCCTTGGTTCTCACCAGACTTGCAGCTCACAGGCATTAGCAGTTAGCACTCAGATCTATCAGAAGCTTCTCTGTGTTTCTGGTAGGTCTGAAGAGAGGAACAGGGCTGAAAAGGCCACCATTTCTGCAAGAGCTCATCAGCAGGAGGCTTGTTTCATCAGCTGTGCAAATGCGTTTTTTTAGGGTTTGACTTTTTGAATGTGAGATTTTTTTGAACTAATTAATCTGTCCCACTAGGAAAGCAGCAGTGACACTCTCAGCCCAGCTTATGCCACTGCTTAATGACATGAATAGGTCATTACCTTGCTAATGATTTTATAATGGCGATTTATCTAAGTTTATTTAAGGGAATTACTCTCCTTTGTTTCAGCCTGCTCCCTTCAAGTGTGTACTTCCTGAGGCCATTTGCCAAACCAGCAAGTCCTGCTGAACTTCCAACACTTGTGCCAATCTCTATTGGAGCTGTGAGTTTGCCCGACCCAGGCCTGAATGGGTCAAAGCCATGTGGTAGCTGTCAAACATGAATGAGCACAACTCCAAGGGTAACCACTCACCCTAGCAATGGAAAAGAAGCAAAATACTGCTCTGAAACCTGTGAAAGGTAAGCAGGTAAAGAGGCCTCCTGGAAAAACTAAACTAGCCTGTAGTTTTGTGGGATGCTAAAATGCCTCAAGGTAGTCACTGGAGCTCAACTGCTTGTAGCAACATCTGCTTTTAAACAGCCTCATCCCTTGTAAGTTAGATGTGCTCAGTGAGCCAGGTGTTCCTGAAAGCCTCAGCCACTGGAGCTGACAGATCTGGCCAGATCTCATGGCTCAAAGGCAGCTGCTTGCTTGTCTTTAGCAGCACTTCATCATTACAAACCCCAGTGCATCACTGCAGCACATGACAGGAAGTGCAAGGTGTATTGTTACAGCAAGGGATACATGCATTATAAATGTGGTGAATTTTAATAAAGAATTTATACATTAAAAAAAATCCCCTAGGGCAAAAATTATTTTTCCTTAAGTGTATAATCAAAGAATAGTAGGATGCTATAGTCACAAAATAAACAAGAGAGTTTGGCAAAGCAGACTGTGATAACAAAAGAGAATAAACAGAAGGCTTACCCCTACCCTGGGCTCACTCACAAAACTCCAGCAGAGCAGATCTCCAGCAGAGATCCTTCCCCACTGGCAGCCAGCTCTTCAATAGGTCTAGGAGAGGTGCAGCCAGGCTCCCCCCGTTCTGGCACACAGCTGAATTGCCTTCACCTGTGCTCTTGTGGCTGACTCAGTGCTCGCCTCAGGTGGTCAATCAGAGGTTCAGGCTGTGACTCAGCAGCTCCCATACACTTAAGCTTTTCTGTATTTTTCTTCAAAACCTTAACTGCAACTGTTATGACCACCACCCATCTGATGAATACATCAGTGTGCTATCAGCTCTGTCTGGGCTGAAACCAGGACACAGGGAGGGCACAGTGCAGTGCTGACTCCAGTGATGGCAAATAATTGCATTCAGATACATTGGCTTAGCCATGGTCCTGCGAACAGCAAAAAATACTCAGCTGTGTTTTCTGTTTTGATAAAGGAACTTGAGAATAAGCTTCAAGATTAAAAAAAATAACGTCAGTTTTTTTTTCATATATTTGTGGCTCCCTTTTCAGTCAACATAAATACATTAGAACTGCAGATTTTCAAATGGAATGTATAGAGTTGTAATCACACATTCAGCTCAAATGAAAATCTGATCATGTCTCATCACCAGACTTCTATAAACCCTCTCTTACCGGAGAAATAGCCCTCGCTTCACAACCAGACCTTATTCATATCATTGCTCTTTGGCACTACGTACAGTTGTGAGTAAATATTCCCCTTCTGCATGGCCAATGCAAGATGTAGATGACAGTACTGAGAATGTGCACTCATTCATCCCTTTCTATGTACTTACTCAGTGAGAGTTCCCTGTCCTTCTCTTCAATGCTATTTACCCTTGATAGCAGCAGAACTGACACCAGAGCACGATGATTTCAAACAAAAGGTTACAAAGTGAATGGTGTGTGCCTGCACACAGCCATGTAATAGGGCAGCACACGTTCATTAGTGTGTTTCTTTGACAGCCTGTAATTCTAAGTGGGGTCATGAGTTCACAGGGTGCTTGAGAAATGGTTGCTGTTTTCTATTTTGTGGAAAACAACAGTATTCATTGCTGTCCTTAAAATAATGAACTTACCTTGTTAGATGCCTACTTAATTCATGAACTTCCATTTCAGAGCTTTTAAATTCATTAAGCTCTTTACGAATGGCTGCCTGCAAAGGACAAATAAACTCATAAATGTATAAATGACAGAAATCAAAATAAGTTCACTTTGTTCTCAAAACAATATATTAGAAGTGAAATAAATAACATTATTAGAGAGAAAAAACAACAACACGTGAAAAGGAAAAGAGATAAATGTTCTAAATTGCATAAAGGGAAGAAATAAATGCTTCAGTGGGATGGATCAATTTGAAAATGCAGGCAGACAGTGCTGATACAAAAGCCAATTTCAGTTTATTAGGTAAACACTTTCATACACAAAATCCAAATTAGCATAAGTATGAGACAAAAATCATGCACCAGAGCTTCTCAAACCCTGTGCTCTGTTTCAGAGCTGGACCATGAGTAAACTTAGCGTTGGTAGATCTCACCAGAATTACATCTGAAATGTCTCTCCCCTTTATGCAGTCTTAAATTCCCTCTGGTTAAGCCACCTAATCTGGGGCTGAGCTTACTCAAGAGGGAAAGGGGCTGGCCTGGCTCCCTGCTCTTCTCTCTGCCTCAGGCCATGCCCCTTTGCTCCCATCCTCTGTTCTGACTCAATTGTTCCACATGCCAAACCCATCCAAATTCACCCTAAGTAAGTGGTTGGGTCAACTTCAGTAGGAAAACCTGTTACCTTCAGCTTCTGTGGTTTGTCCACGTGGGAAAAGAAAATGATGAGAAGGGGAATACTGAAGAAGAAGAAGAAAGGTTGACTTTGAGTGACTCAGCTTCTTGGTGGAAATGGCTCTCAGCTAAAATGGCCCTCACCCCATGCTGCAGGCTTCTGACAGTGCTGTGATATTTGTAGCATACAAGTGGGCCTCCCCATGAGCATATGGAACAGATATGCCAGGTGCCAGTGTGGCCAAGTGGTCCCATGAGCCCGAGGTGTGTGCCACTGCTGGGAACCTCAGTGGCTGGAAATGGCCACTCCAATTATGGGTACTTGTGGCTGTCAAGAACGTTTTCTTGACTGAGTCTAAACCAGGATAAAGAGCTCAAGCCCACATCAGGGCTTCCACAGCAACCACTGATCTGGTCACCAATGACCTGTGCCTGGACAAGGCCTAAATGACAGATCTTGTGAGTGTGCTCTACAGAACGAGCCTCTCGTGTTCTTCCTACACTGCTCTGCCTCTGTCTGTCAGAGCAGAGAGATGATTATGCACCAACTCAAGGGTCTACCTTCAGCAGACCATTTGCTGCTCAAGTGACTGTGAAGAAGGTCAAATGGCCTGCTACCTCCCATTGGGTTTGAAATCTATCACCTCCTGCATCTCTCAGCTGCTGGGGAGATGCAGAAGTGCCCTTCTTCCTCCAACAGTCAGATTTGGGAAAGATGAAGCCAGGCTGAACATGTCCCCATGTGACATGTTCCCCATGTCCAGAACACAGAGAGATTTACTGAGAAACAGAAAAGCCCATTACTAAACTCTACTTTTGCAATAAATTTAGTCTGTGTTGACCAATTGAAGGCAGTTATTGAATCAGAACTTTTAGAAGAAAATAATAAAATAATCTGTTATAGGATGCTGTAGCTCGTCAGGTTCCGTGGCATTGCATTGGGTTCCAATTTGACCTTCTTTTTTTTTTTTTCTCAACAGAAGATAGTGGTAGGGAAAAGAAGGTGATCTGAATGGCAGGAATTAGAACACTTCCCAGATGACCCAAACATGAATAATATGCCAGAAGGGGCATTGATACTGGGAGGACAATTATTCTTTTCTCCTGCTTTGCTGAAAAAAAGGTTTGCTTAGAGAAAAATGAGTCTTCTGATTTGTGTACTGACTCGCACATGTGTTATAAAGAAGGAAAAGTGACTTCAAAGTACTTCTCTTTCATGCTGAACTCTTCAACAGGCTACGTTTCACAGAGATATTTGATAATTGTTCTTTCCACAGACACGGGGTGAGAAAAGATCTCTCTGGTCACTTCATTTTCCCTGATGAGGTATTTCCACACCTTCTATTCAGTGCAGAGGTCTCTCAAAGACAGAAGAACTGATTAGAAATTTATTCTTTCCCTCACTTATTGGGAGAATGTAACTCCCAACAGATAGATAGGACAAGACTTCAGTCAACTGATTTAGCCAATATGGTGATGTAAAATGGGAAAAGCAAATTTAATGCCCTATATTATGGTCTGGGGACCGTCCAGAAAAAGATTTTTTTTTTATCAGATCAGTTTATACTACATGAAAGTTCTTGAAAGCTAAGCTGAAAAGGGCCTCTACTGAGGAGAAAAGTAGTGGTTATAAAACTTCACAATTAAACAAATTAACTAAGTAAAACTGTCTGTCCTTTCCTCTATGAAGCAAACCAAGAGCACCACAGGTGATTGTCACAGCCAGAATTCCAGCTCCTTTAAACACTGGATATCATGGTGTGGCCTCCATCACTGCATCAGGCTGTCAGCAAAGACATATGCAGGGCTTAAATCCAGGTACCTGAATGTCTTCAAAATTACAAGGGCATCACAGAGTGAATTCAAGGCAAAGCAGCCACCTACCAGGCTCAGAGCCCTCTCTTCTTACAACTGCCATAAAGCATTTAAATTCTTCTTCACCATCAGACCCTCAGGATGTGACTTTGACCATCTGACAGCGATTTAACCTCTCTGCCACCAGTGCTGACAACAGAGACGCTGCTTCATGAAGCCAGAACTGGATTTCAGAGGACAGTGCACTTATTACCAAATATACAGCTGTTTTTCATCTGCAGGGCTCATGAAGCCTCTGCTCAGTGGTTACAGTACTGCGTGGGAGGGAGCAGGTATCCTGAAGAATCACACCTGTCTCAACCCCTACAGAAAAGTAACCTGGCCTTGGTGGGATGGAGGTGCTTTTGCCAATCTGACCTGCTGGCATTCTTACAGCCAGGCCTGCTCAGTTCTGGCAGGTGCTGCTCTGTTAGGTCTGTCTTGTGGAAAATTGCTTGTGGGCATTCTCAGCTGGCAGAATTGTGCGGCAAGCCCCAAATCAATGAACAAATAACACAGGGCTACCATCAAGGCTTTTCTTCCAAGGGTCTTACTCTTTTTAAATGATGTAACGCTGCTGTGTTTCCACACACACAGGAGCCTTCTTGCCAAAGGTGTGTAACTCAAACCAACAAACCTGGTGAACTGGGAAGAGAGCTCTGATGTTTCCTCCCTGGTGGCTGTGGGACCTGAGGGGTGCTGCTGACCATGACATGCTCTAGCTGTTCAGGTCATGGCTCTCCCCAGGTCACTCCACTTACTTTGTCGGCAGCCGTGAGTCGCGTCCAGGGTTTGTCTGCCCTCCTGTCATAGTCCTGCGCGTCGGCCACCTCCACGTAGTCGCTGAAGCGGATGAGGATCTTCCTCTCACGCAGCTCCTCTACCGTGGGCCTCTGACTCAGCTGCATGGTTGAAGAAGCGGTGGAAAAAGACATCAGAACTTCACTTCTTCCCTGCAGAGTGCTGCCTGGAGATCAGTTTTACTACAACCACCATTGTGACAATAAGAGAGTTCAAACATCACCAAGACTGTTGTTTTTACTGGACTTTCACAGACCTGCTACCTGGGAGATAGATACCTTGTTGCTTGCTATAGCACCTTGTTTGTCATGCCACCTTGCTGCTGGAGCAGAACACTGTTGTTTGGGAAGCAGCCATGGAAGAAGCCCCCGATTCCTGGCAGAAATTGGATGCAACGCAACAAAGGCAGCTGGCAAAGTGATGCTTCATGAGGAGATGAAGACCTTATAACCTCACAATCTCCCATATGATCCCTTGTCTTGAGCTGCTGTGGATGCTTTAGTGCTGCCAGGGAAGGGTTATGCACAGGAACAGGGTGGATCCAGCCTTGAGTTAGTTGCAAAAGGTGACAAACAACTTTCCTTACCATCCTGACATTCTGCAGTCCTGCCCTTATCCTCCAGACATGGTGTGCAGGATGATGACTATTGCTTGCTGAATGTTTCACTGAGTGCTGCAGCTCAATTTTATGCCACAGCATATTTGACTTCAACAGCTTACACTGCATACTACAAGCCAAATAACAAAAATTTCAAGGGTGGACTGTATCATGTCAAGAAAGCCTCTTCACTGTTCCAAAGTCACTTCTTTCAAACTTCTCAGCAGAGAGAGCAGCCAGTCAATCTCTGGTATTCCATGTATGGAATGGCCGCTTACATGGGCAAGGACAGGTATTGGCATTTTGGGATCAGTTCTCCTTGGATGCTCAGCTTGCTGGTTAATCTCAAGTGGAATTATATGACTGCTTCTGAAGAAGCCACAACAGGTGTGTGCATGTGGATGTGCATTAGCTGCTAATCCTCCATTAGTGAAACATCTGTAACAACGATATTATCAGGAAAAATAACCATAAACTGCTAACATTTAGCTAGACAGTATCTCATGCTATTACCACTCACTAGAAATAAGTGGGCTTTGCAATACCTCACTCTTGTGACCAGTGAAAAGTTAAGTACTTCATAAAATGCTTGAGACTCTTTTCTGCAAAGGAGTTCAGGCTCCTGGATCCTGACGTGCAGTTCCACCTACTTCCCAAATTAAGCATCTCAGTACCTTTCACTTCACCTCCCAGGGAGAATTAACATTCAAACCAGAGAGGATGCTGAGAGGAGGATGAAAAATCTGCGAGATCACAGGAAAGAAGCCCCACCTCCTTAGAGCAACAAATTGCCGGGGTAGGACTGCACCCCCATCCCATCCCCCCTCTGCACTTAAATCCCTGTGTTACTCTCCTTGGATCATCCCTGGAAGATGCTTGCTTCTCTCTTCTCTTTTATAAGAAAGCGGTGCTACTGGAGGTGACAGTGGTGCTGCTCTGCTGATGCAGACAGTCCTCACCACTCACAAAGTGGGTTCAGACATCACCTGTAGAAAGGCTGCAAAGCTGAACTGATACCCCAGTGAGCTGCTTCAGGACAACAGGAACCCTGTTCTACCCGTCCTGGCTGCAGCTGCGACATTATTGCCCAGAGAAGAGAAAGAAATCACAGAAGGAGGTGCAACCAACCACACACCTCTACTGCCACGTCGTGCCTTTGCTTAGGGCAGCATCCATCAAGTTGTAGTTTGGTTCATGTACTGTCTCTCAAGTCATAAGCCTCAGAGAGGCTTCTCTCTGATCCACAACTCATCTGGAATGTGATTCCAAATCACTAGTTTTTCTAGCAGTCCTGCTACTGGGAGCTGGCAGCTTTGTTAGCACTGATGCACTGCTAACGAAACAACACAGCAGAATTTTTCTTTCAGTTTCTTTTTTTTTTTAATCTATGCCTGGACAGTGGGGATAGAGAAGATCTTTATACTGAAATAATGATGCGACTACAGCCAAATATTGCAAAGATAAGAGTGTGAGACTCCATCTTTACTTCTATCATCTTTTTTTTTTTTACCCAGCAGCTTGAATAAAGGGTGAATCACCAATATTATCTGTACCATTTTCAGCTTTTAGCATTTCAGGACACAGCACAGATGATACTTGGACTATTCTTTCAAATAAAATGTTTTATGACATGGAGTATGGTGACATCAGCAAAAAATGAAATCTATCAGCTTAACTCTGTGTCTCTGAACAGCACCAAGTGAAAAAGGAATTCCTATAAACCTTGCAAGCTGGAAGAAGCCTTCCAGAAAACGACTGGCTCTATTTCACAGCTTCTGTCAACTGTTACCAGCTGACTCTCGTGTTTGTATCCATCTTAGAGATGAATAAGTTCTACAGAGGAGAGGGCAGATGACTGCTGATCCACTGCACCATGCTGTGCCAACCTGATGCCTGGCTGGTGTCAAGAATGCTACAGCATCATAAGCCCATTGTGAAACTTCGGTGTTAATGTGCTTTTTTCATTCTTAGGTGGCACCTAAATGTAACACAGACTAAAAGCTGGTTCTCTTCCTCTAAAACTGCATATTGTTTTTAGATACCCTGACTTTGCTTTGGAAACATACAACCACTGCAACACCACTGCAATGACAGGTATTGCACATCCCACTACAGTGGTGGTTTGTGTCCCCATCCCTACTGAGCAGCTGGGGCAAGTGAAGTTGAAACACCAGCTCAGGGTGACCCAGGACCCCATGGCAGAGCTCTGAGCTGCCATGAGATGCACTGTTCCTGTGCCAGTGCTCTGGCTGAAATACTGTCCTTATATCCAACAGCTAATGTACAGCCATAAATCTACATATATTTGCATACATAAGCACACATACACAAATATTCAATATATTAAGCCAAAGCACAGATCCAATCATAATAAATAGGGAGAAAAGGACAATTATTTTAAGACAGCAATAAAAGCTTCATTATTTGTACTGTTAACAAACTGCCCTGCCTCTTTCTCATACCATTACAGAGGCTTCTTGTGAACTGCTAAGCTCTTTCCATATGTCTGCATTATGCAGAGCACCCTTAAATCTTAAGGGCAGAAGTAGCTGGCAGACAGCTTTGCAGAACACTCTGTAAGTGTCCATTCAGTGTCAGTTTGTGACAAGGGCACAGCTCACCTGAGATCTCACCTTGGTATTTATCTTAATGACCTGTGAGTTACGGTCTCTTGGATCAAAATTACTTCATGCTACACAATCCTTCATGGACCACATCTGAAATGAGCTCTGCTTCTTCTAACAGATAGGAAGAACCAAGAGTGTTTGAAAGTTACAGGAAAAGGACACATTCAAGGACATGATGCAATTGCTTGCAGCAAGAAGTGCTGCTCCAAGCAGGGGAAAAGGGGTCTCTCTCTGTGCTCACCCTGTGGCTCCCTATAAGTTCAGTCAGACCTTAGGGACACTGGGACATCTGGGAACTTTTCAGGGGCACCAGAGGGAGGTATTTAAGGCAGACATTTTCTTAAACAGATGGCATGAGGATTGGCATTTTTTACAAGTATGACAAAGAGTGTTTTTTTTTTTTCCTTACCACTGCTAAAATTAGCAGGATGTCCATGTGTGTCCACCTCGGCATATACATTCCTGTTCATCTATTTGTGAACATTTGTGAGTTGAGGGAGAATGCCAATTCAGTGGCAAGTCACCACGTTATTTTAGTGTGAATGTGAACAGAAACTGTTGTCATGGGAGGCCAAGTGTTCCTCTGGATGTTTTGTATCACAAGAGATAAATATGGGCACATTACAAGTTTTGATATTAAGCTAGTTTTCAAGGGAAGTTTTAACTCAAACCCCTTTGTTCTCAGCATGGGATATGAAGAAAGCTAATGCACTGTCACCAAGTAAAGTGCAGGAAAAGCCAATCTTGTCAGTCTGATCTTGGGATTTAGCCAAATGTGAAATGCTGACTTTGCTCTACTTCAGACACAACAAAGCTTGTTACCCTGTCTCTTCACTGCTTGCTTTGTTACCTCATTAAAATGTTACAATCGTTATTTATGGAAGAAACCAAAGTGAAAAATGAGACTCTAACTAGCAGTGCTAACAACCTCCTCACCTCTTTGCTCCTCACCTCTTGTGCTAAGACATAGGAGCAGGAGGTGACTTAAATGCCCCAAAGCTCTTTTCCCTCTTTGACTATAAATGCTGTTTATCCAAATTAGCAGCTAACCTTTACTGCTTTCTGACCTTTTTTCCCCCTTCCTTTCACCTCCCTCTGCTTTGCCACACAACTCATTATTTCAAACATCCCGTCCTGATGCAGGTGAGGGGAGGTCCATTATAGAAAATACTTATCAGCAAGACACTTCCTGGAGAGGCTCCAGCTTGCTTTCCCATGAATAGAGGCTTTAAGCTGTACTGGAGCAGGAATTTAACAGGAACAAAGACTTCAGACTATTGCATGGATTTTAAGAAACAGCCACATCTCTTCACTTTGGTTGTTTCTACTGCTACAAGAATTTTAGTCTTGTAGCCAGTGAAAGACTACTGACAGTGGGGGGACAGGAAGCAGTGAACAGCTCTGGGGAACAGGGAGAATAATGCTATTTGAGAGAAGGCAGGAAAAGCAGAGCTTTGCCTCCTCTTTACAAGTAAATCTGTAATATCTTCCATTCATTCAGGCTACAACTCCATCTCTGCGGAAAACCTCAGGGGGAGTTCAGGCTCATGTTAATTGCCTTGGTGCTACACCAAATTCTCAACAGCAAGGAGAGGATAAATTCTTAGTTGTAGTTTCTGGAGGCCCAGATCTCCTCGTGAAAGGAAAGTGGATCCAACACTTCTCCCAGAGGATCTCTGCACATTCACAGTTCTGGAATGGGCTTGGTAGATGTCTGCAACCAGAACTCAGAAAAATCCCTGCTATTCATGTTCCTCAATTCAAACAGTAGAAGTCCAGGTGACCAAAGCTGCCAGTGGGACTCCACGGGAGAGAGCACGGGGCAGGACAGATGTGCAAAACCCACCCCTGGGCACTCAGGTGGGAGGCAAATATCTCTCCCTCATCTGGCAGGAGGGAAAAAAGTTACTGAGAAACTGCTTCAACCACTATCTACCTACTTTTTACTCTCTGAGTGGCAGCTATTTCCTATCCCCAGTTAGTTAATTTGGAGTTGGATGAGTCTGAGAGCATGAAAAGTGCTTAAAAGTGCAGCTTGCTATAGGCTACCCAACTTCTTAGAGTTTTTTTAGAAACTGCCTGTCCATATGATGAATTCAAGTGGATATTTATTACTGCCTTTAATAAGACATCTAGACCTAGTAAGGTAATTTCAGTTATTACAGCATGTCATGTTACAACTCATCATCATTATACTGTAGCAAAGTGTGATTGCTGAAGGAATTTTAGGAACAGCTTTCTAATGGATGAGGAAATGAGTTGTACCCTTAGAGCTGGAATCATGCCATCGGAAATTCGGAACAGTAACAATTTCTACAGTGCAAAGTCAAAAGTCTTTTCAGTGGCTTCTCCAGAACTCCTCCTGATTACAACCAGACATGGATACAGAAAGGCAACATGGCATACTTTCCTTATGTTGAATTCACCCTGTGGGCACGTCTGCATGAGAACTCAGTGCAAATAGAGAGGTCTGCTGGGCAATGCTCTCGACGTGCTCAATTAAATTTCTGCTTGATCTGAGGTTTAAAATCCTTTGGTAATAAGACTTCAGTCCAAATCGACAGGAGCCTGCCTCTCTGCTGCAAACACGACACATCTGGGACATGTTCATGAAAGACAGAGCTGGGGAATAACAATTCTTGCAGGATTCACTAGGCACTTGGCATTTCTAGTTGTCATCTAGCCATTAGCACACTTTATTCACTTCTTTCCTCCAGACATTACTGAGCCTCTGTGATGGTACATTTGGCAGGTGAGAATGAAATTCCTTGTTAGACCAAGCCTGTGGTTAGAGTCATTGAATCACTAAGTTTGGAAAAGACTGCTAGGATCATCTAGTCCTGGAACAATTTACATCAGTTTAACAAGTAAGCAAAATCAAACAATACAAGTTATGTTGCTACCAACCTTACAAACATGCTAGGGGCAAAAGAAAATATTTGTTAAAGGAAAAAAAAAAAAAAAAAAAGGCTAAAAACAGCATAGCCTGGAATGTTGGTATGGAACACTGAACTGCCAAGGACCTGGACTGGCTTGTTCCTACTTAAAATAAGACAAAGGAAAAAAACCTTACAGAAATCTGCTGAGATTTCAGGGAGCAGTCATGTAGCCTGGGTGTTTTAGTTCAGGGTGTAGCTGTGGCCTCTATCTCTAATAGACAATTCATTTGCTATGTACTTCAGCAAGACCCCACTTGTAAGGCAGCAGATTAGCTATAGGAAGCTTTGTTTTTTATCTACTACAGTTATTCATTAGATGGCATAAAACTTTGTACTGGATTGCTGTATATGTTTACATATACATATAGAAATTGACAGACTGGTAAAGCAGCACTTCTAGCCTTTGCAGTGAGCTTAAGTCCTACAAAATCTCTGCACTGCAGTTAGGTTCTATTCCTTCAGACAATGCTATAAGGGGATAAGAGCATCTCTACCATTGTTGGAAGGAATTAGCATCTTTAAAATAGTATTATAGCTCTCTGGGCCACATTCTTTGTTCCTGCAGACAAAGGCAGTATCACCCAGTTGGTGTCAGAGAACTCTGCTGATTTAATTGAGAATAAAGTCTGAGATTTTTAAGCGTGAAAGAAAACAATCCAGCTCCCTGAACTTAAGCTTTGCATATATATTCACAGTCCTTTTCCTGTCATTATTTGCACCATAAAAGCTTGCAGTCACATATGCCAAAAAGACTAAGCCACCTAAAAGCCTATAGAAGAATGGTGCTGCTCCATAAACTTGTGAGTTTTTAGAGGACTTTCTCCTGCTCTGTAGGTGGGAAATAGAAGCCAGTGGTGAAATAAAGTTTACCTGCAATAACAGGACAGACTGCTGGCTATGTATATTGGGACATCTGTAGACATTTACACCAGCCGAGAATCTGAACATGTGTATCTGAAATTACTGTTCTTCAGTTTTAAGAGCAAATGACTTTTAAATGGGAGGAAAACCAAAACCAAACTGTCCTGTTTACTTTATCCTTCCCTGCTGATTGAAGATTGTATGATTGTTTTCTGCACACCATTTTCCAAGTGCTTCTCTCTGTTTAGTTGGAATGCCTCAAGTGGCAATCTCCCCTTCCAGAAAAAGTTTATTTCTTAGTTTACTGCTTTTTAAGTTGGAACTTTCAAATGCAATCAACACTGTTTTAACTTTGCTCTCTCCTTGTAATAGCTTTGTAGGCTATTCCATTTACACAGAGCAGTTAGACTGATGCTAGGCTGTGCATCCTGCATAGTCCAAAGCTTCTTCTGTTATGAAGTCTAGACCTTACTTTGGCCAACTCCAAGATGTTACTGTTAATAGCCTGCACAGCACTTCCCTGCCCTGTCCATGGACTTAAACTCTGTACAGAGGTGATGTCTTTTTTTAAAGACTTCTTTCAAGACTGACTTCATTCCTTACTTTTGAAAATAGTGCTGTGGAAAAGAAAAAATACTAACAGTTGTGCAGTAGGAAGAAAGTTATGGTAATGCCATATTAGGATCAAAGCTGCTCCTCACCTTACGTGTTAATCTTCTCTTTATCTCTCGTTTTTCTTCCTGCTCCTCTTGCTCATTCCGGGCTGTAAGAGATATAAAGGAATGTCAAGCTGCAGACTTATCAAATATGCAAAGTGTGCAACAAATAAGCCTGTGCATCAGTATATTAATGTTTCAGGACCTCTCTGATACACAGCATGCCCCCCTGGGACTGGTGAACCTGCCTGACCCATAGCTTCTCTGCTTCTTCACACACTTCATAAACATCTACACAACCTTCCTTTCCCTGTGCTGGTACTCTTCATGTGTGCCACTCTGCCAAAGGGCCAGGCAACGAGCCATTATCTCACTGCTGTGAGGGGTTCAGCTATGATATGGTTTGATTCTGAGAGGTCAACAGCTGAAAAAGAAACACGGGTATAATTTTTTATCCCTTCTGTGGAATGGAAATGGATAGAAAACTCAGAGTAGGGATGTTAGGCAACATCTGCAACTTCATATGACCTGAGCAGAGTGAAAAGAGAGCCTCCTTCCCTCCTTCATGAGCCTTCACAGCATTGTACTGGAGTGCAAAAACACATCCCAGGAAATCCACTTTTAACAGTAAGCCAAAAAATCACATGCTACAAATTCTCACCAGGGTAAGCCTCAACCATTACCACTAGAGAGGGCAGTAAGATTTGACTACATTACCTTTTTTTTCAATTTAGGAACAGGCTCTCATGCATGTCTTGGCAATGAACTTTACTGAAAGTCAATAAAATCACAGGTTTCTGTGTACTCCACTACTCAGTGCATCCTGCATAGTTCAAAGCTTCTTCTGTTATGAAGTCTAGACCTTAATTTGGCCAACTCCAAGATGTTACTGTTAGTAGCCTGCACAGCACTTCCCTGCCCTGTCCATGGACAGTTAGGATCTGTTTTAACTGCTTTGTTGATACCTGAATTGCTCCTTACTAGAATCAAGCCCAAAGGAAAGCAAATGCAACTTAGCTACAAGTACCTTGTGCCCATTGTGTGATCTGGTTTTCACTCAGACAGAACTAACTCAGGCACCAATAACTCTGTAGGGAAGCTACAGAAGACATCCAAGGCCATGTTGGGGTAGGAAGCTTGAACTACATCACTTAAATTTGGTCTAAAATAAATCCAAGGGGAGCAGGCACCTCTGGCAGAATGGTAGTAACAAAATAGGATATGCTGTTCAAGCAACTGTGTGGCAAAGTCACACAACGAGCAAGAAGGGCTGGGTGGCAGTTTTTTGCTGTTCAGGACAACAGAGAGCCACTCCAAGGCGATTGCTCACTGACTTCATCAGGCCTGGGAATTCTCCACCGAAGTGGACGAAGAGCCCACCAATAGTTTGTATGATGGTTTATAACACGCCCATTACCTTTAAATGCCATTTTCCCCAAAATACTGCTTGCATTGTCTGGAAGAAAGAATCTGATATTGGAGACAAAAGATTAGAAGACATCATGGGCTTACCAATAGGTTTTTAATTGGTAACTAGAATACCTATATTGTTGCATATATACTTTTATCTTTCAGTGGTTTCTTTTCCTGCTGGGCTGGATTCTGGATTAGCAATTGGTCTTTCAGCAGTTTTTTTCTTCCCGTTGTGTCTCAAATTTGGAGAAGCCATGACTGCAAATAGCCACTCACAGAAGCACAGCCACTAATAAATCCTTTAAGATTAAGCCAGAGAGAACGCTAAATGGAGTCCACATGGTGCCTGGGCAGCACTGAAAGTATATGAGGAGTTATGTATAAACTGAGTCAAAGTGGCTCACTTTTGTACTCCGCATACAATGCCTTTCTTTTCTCCTCATTTCTCAGCCCATTTACCCACCTTCAGAGACAGCCAGGCAGGCTGAAAACCTTGGTCAGGAACAAGCTGGGAAGTAGGAATACATTCTCCTCTGAAAACAGAAAGTACTGTTTCATTTCTGTTAAACAGTGCTGATCTACAGAACTGTTGCTTTATTTTATGTATTCAGGAGATGCTCTGTTTCTTCAGGGTTTACTGGGTCACAGTTTTCAGGCCTAATTTCTGTGCTAGTGTGAAATGTCCCCTGGCACATTCTGAGACCATCAGACCCCATCTACCCAAGTTTTTATGAGGAATTCATGCAAGCCTGATGTGCCAGACTGACAAGTGAAGTATTTGTATCCATCACAGAAGTTGTACTGGGGCATGCAGGCATCCTTCCTTGTAAACTAACATGGCCTGCAAGTACTAATTTCAAAAAGAGTAGTTTAGTCTACACACTAACTCTACAGGTCTGTACTTCTCTGCATTGTGTGCCTTTGATTTCATTAGGAGTCACTGCCTTGGGTGCATGTCAGTGAAGGGCTGGTCAAGCACATGTCCCCCTGTTCTCAGTTTCTTTGCTGTGGCTGCTGTAACCTTACTGCTGCTACAAGCAAGTAATGGATTCTTGTAATTTAACAAAGACAGTACTTTCATAAGTGTCCCTGCAGCATGAAGCTCGGAAGGGATCACTTCACTTACAGGGAATGGATGCACATCTGCATTTTGCCTCATTTCTTCCCATCACAACTGGCAATAATGCAGTTACACATCACAGGAACAAAACGATACTCAGTACGACAACTGCATCAAGGAAATGTCAGCTTTAACTGCAGAGGAAATCCTATTTACTTCATCTGGGAGAATGCTGGGGTTTCTTTTTGGTGTGTGCTGTGAACTGGGCTTTTGCAAACAACTTGAGCTGTTTACACAGAGTTTGAAGTCTTAATTATTGCATCCCATGTCTCTTTCTCCATAGGCTTTACTGTATCTATCAAAATTCTCAGAAATCTAGGGAAAGGAAGAAAGTAATTCTGTACTGAACAGACACTATATTTACTTGTTTAAGACTAGAGTATTATTTTACGCATTTTTTAAGTTGTGTAACTATTTTTAAATGTTTGTCCTGTTGTGCTTCACCAAAAATTAAGATGCCATGGGAATACCACCTTAGCTTTTCCTGTGACTATGATGTTGTTTGTCTACCAGGACAGACATGGTTCAGGGCAGATGCGTGCTTAAGAATCAAGATAAAAAAATCAATTTAGGAAATAAAAGTATAGTTCTGGATTCACAGCAATATTTTCAGGCACCTTTGTGTCATTTAGGAGCCTCTACTAAATTCAGAAGGAAACTGATGAGGCTCAGAGGATAATTCCCCTGAAAAACGAAACAACTCAGGTCTCTGCGTGGGAGAGATTAGGAAATCTCTGATAGGACCCCAGCTTTGGTCATGTCACTTCTCTGCTTCTAACACTTCATCCAGAGCTGCTGCTTGAGACCCCCCTACCTTTCCACAGCCCCTGGCAGTCACAAGCACCAGTGCCAGGGTGGTGTTTACTGGTCACATACCAGTGCCAGGTGCTGCATGGCACGCGCTGCTTCATGCTGGTAGCCAGAGCCAGGATGACAACATGAGCTGCTGAGAGAATTGCCCTCTGTCCCCATTAGCCTGAGCTCATTGTTGGTCATGTTGCAGGTTCCCCCTCCTCCAGCTGTCCTGATAGCCTCTGTCCCAACGCAATCACAGAGGGATGTGCCGCCAGTTCCCCAGTTTCTGCCCCCTTGAAGACTGAACTCCACCAGCTGCTGGTACAGGGATGAATAGTAGAAGTATGGCTATCACAGGCTAACACACAGAAATGGCTTTCCTGGCAGCCTTGGGCTCCCTGCACTCTCTTAGCTGTTTACTCTTTGCTCCTCTATTTGCACTGATAGCGGTGTCTCTGTCTTCCCTTGTCTGCCATGCACGACAACATGAACAGATGAATAACACACTGGGAGTTTGATTCTGAAAAAATTTAATCAATCATTGCTGCTAATTTCCAGAGAATCTGTCTTTTGCTACCACACTTCTATGATTCTGTGCAAGTCTGTTGTTTGAACAATAGAAGATATACAATGGACCAACCTATGATGATCTTTTAAGGTACCATTTAGGAATACTTTTGTCTGTGTTCATTTTCAAAATTTTCCTGGAATGAAGGATTTAACAACTTAAAAAAGGAAGAAACTGTTTATTCAGTTCCCTGTTTCTGAAGTACAACAATAATGAGATGAACAGATTTGTGTTCCTGTTAAAAATCAAACACTTCAGTGTGAGTAATGAAATGCATTTTTTTTTTTCCCTATTCATTCACAAGATTACAAGGTTTGTGCTAGACTCAGTTCTGCTTCTCTTGGAACTGGTGACAACAGATCTAGTAACGTAACTTAGCACAGGCTCTCCAAATGGTAGACTGCCTCTTTAAAATATACTTTAATGATCTGAGGATCTACCCTCAGATTTTGGCTGATTTAAAGGAAGAGTTTCAGGGGAACATTTCACTGGAAGTATCCCAAGAAACACAGGATTCTTTTTTGAATTAAATAAAGGCTCCACCTAAGTCTAGATTGCTGTGAAGGTTTTCAGAAAAACTCATCAAGCCATGCTCTAATGGCTTTACCAGCTTATAATGGGATGCTCGTATCCGTGTGAGAGCAGCACAGAAAGGCTTTTCAGAATGATCCTCTGTTGGGAACAGGACTTGCAAAAAAGATTCAGGGTTGTTTTTTTTTTCTTTCCCAAAGGCTGTTCATTCATGTGTATTTACTGACTACAATTTTAATGAATTATTTCTGCAGCTCTGAATGTTGCTGCAGACTTGCACACTTACTTACATTTATGATGCACTTTGTTTTTATTCGTGATGCACATACGGAATAGCCGATGTTTTATAAAAAGAACCCACACAATATAAATCTAAACTAATGCAAACTAGCTGGCTTCAGATTCAATGTCAGTAGTATCAGGACTTACGTTTCAGAATGTTCCTCTGCTCCAATTCTTCAGCTGTCGGCCTCTGGCTCAGTCGTCTGCGAAAAAAGTCCAAGATCAGTTTCTGGACCATATCACATCCTCCTCAGCTCACTGTCTTTGAGAGTTTTTCTGAGGTGTGGAAGGCGGAGCAGAAAGTGCCAACGCTGCTCCATTATGCACTTGGTGTGCCTGGCCCATGCGTGACACAGACCATGCTTCACTTTCGCAGTTTCCTCTGTGTTCAGCCCATGAAAGACGAACTACATTATGTCATCTTAGGCACAGCACTCCCACCCCTACCCCAGGCAGAGCTGCTGGGAGTTAAGCTACACAGATGTCTTCACTTAATTTCCTTCCTCCCATGCCTGCTTCCTGACTCGCACAAGCACTTCTAGCTGAGACCCTGCTAACCCTCTCCCTGCCCTCTTGTGAGCCTCCAGGCTTGTCCAAACAGCATCTGAACACAGGCAGCCTGCAGAAAAAACAAGGGACAGTTTGGCAGTGCTGAGGGCAGAACAATAGTGGCACTCCTCCTCCACAGCTCCACTCCCCTCCTCCTCTGGTGGCTTGTATTAAACCTTACAGTGAAGATCAGCATAACTTGCTTGTCAACCTGTAGGACAGATTCACAACCAATGCAATCTAATTACAAATGGGAGCCCTGAGAACAGAAACAATCTGAATATTCAGAATACAAAGCAAAGCAGAAAAGCACAAAGGGATCTTGGGGAAAACAAAGAGAACCACTACGATGACATCAGAAGTCAACACTGTTGGGCCTGCTCCTGCTCTCACCAGGCTCAATGGGAGTTTTGTCAGTGCTGCCAGTGACAGGACATCGCCTTCTCATCCCTCAGGCATAGTCATTCAGGGAGGTACAGATAGGGGCAGACTTCAGAGCAGGGGATCATGTCTGCACCAGATAGTTCAATCCCCTGCTTCTTTCAGCAGCCTCTGGACTGACCTCACCTGGTGCACAGGGCTGGAATGCACGGGATGGGCAGGAGCCTCACCTTCTGTATGAAGGCAAAAGTTTGGGTAACTGATTTTACACAGCCTGAATATTTCTGCTGTCAGAAAAGATTTCAGCTGTACTGCCTTTGGGGCCATTTTCCATAACTAAGTCAGATCATGGCCCTATTCCAGTGCAGAATTTGGAGTGACTGGTTTTGCCTCTTTGCCATGGCAGATCAATCATGTACCTCACTTGAAAAAGCATTGATAGGGACAGAAACTTGACATAATTCAGAAGTAAAGAACACCTCCAAAGTACATTGAAGATGAAAGTACTGTTTGAATGCTTGCTATTACCATCTTTAAGATACAGTAGCTGTTGCTAATGGAATACTTCATCTCAGTATTAAGAAGAAATTAAAGCTATTATATTTCTATCAGCAGTTGAGAATCAAAGAGAATAAATTGCCAAGTTTAGGTCCACTAAGAGTTTCTGCAGAAACTGAGTTATATGAAGCTTTTAATCCACCACACTGTGATGTTTCTCAAGAGGAAGCTTCACGTGAATGTTCAGGACAGACTCCATCCACCCAGTGTGCAGCGCTTCTATAGAACCAACACAATAAATGTAAGGAGACGTCAGTTTGAAAAGAAGGCTTCCAAAAAAACTCCTCCTCTTCCAGAAAAAAAAGATGATTAAAAGACTCAGCTAACGGTTTTGTCAAGAATGGTTCACACTGGACCATTTCGAACAAAAGGCACAGGTTTTGTCTATCTACATGAATGATTTACATAAAAGACCACGTCTTCCATGTATTTATTTCTCAGTAGCTGCCATAAAGTAGATGAATTTAAACAAAGTTTGTACTTCACTTTGTCACTGCTTCTACACTGAGGTGAGTGATTTCCTCCAAGTGTGCCCTACACATGTATCCCCATCTTCTGTGTAGCTCAGAGACCTACACACTATGCAGTTCTTCCCTAAGATGCCCAGTATGGGTTCCAGTGAAAACCAGTCAGAAACAGCTGTGTTCCCCATCAAGAATCAACGCATTTTACAGATGCCATAAAATACCTTTTTCAGGCTGCAATGTGCTCCTTCCTCAATGATGACCACTGTTATAAAGGCATGAAGTCACGTGGCAAAAAAAACATGGTATTTTTGGTAGATGCAGCCTAGAGATCAAGAGCTCTTGATTTTCATGGACTGCTGCTACATTCCCATTTTCACCTCATTTTGGGTTGACTGGGCCTGCTCCCTCAGTGTTTGTTTCTCTGATGAGTGAAACAACCCCTTCCCCAGACCTTCTCATCCAGGCTATCACAATTATTTTTCTTGTTCTCCTGCTCTTTTCATTTCATTTCTTTTGCTTCCACAGTGACTTCCATCCCCAAACTATCTTTGAACTCTACAAACTCCACTAACTCCTCAGAAAAGCCATCTTTCAGTTTTTACTTTTTCCCTCTTAACTTTTGGGTTTGCCATAGGTTGGGCAGCTGTTAACATTTTTGAACATCTCAGTTCTAGGTACTATCCTATAATTAAATAAATGTTGGCAGCTCTTGCTTTGTTATTGTGGCTGCAAAGATAGATTTTTTTTTTTTCCACACCTAATTTCCGTGTACCATCTTCAGTGCACTGTTGTGATCTTAGCAAACAGTAGATGTGGTAACTCCACTCTTTGTCTTTCCTTCCTGTGTTGGGCAGAACAAAAATATTAACGAAGCCCACCTAGATTGCAGAGGCTGATTTCAGAGGTTTGATTGCTGGATTGCTGCTGTGCCTTCCTTCATTTAACATCACAGGGGCTGCATGAGGCTGTCAAGAGGCCAGAGGTCAGGAAACAAGTGTCTAATTAGCAGCACAATCAGAACAAACAGGAGAAAAAGGAGGTGAGAAATGATGTGGCAGACCTCCTGCAATAGCAAATAAAGGAACTGCTTATTAAAACTATCAGAATCAAGTGGGATGCAAGTTATTGATCAGAATGGGAACTGTGTTTTGTGGAGCTGCAGGAGTGTAGATATCTGACCAAGGGAAAGACAGGCCTCAGAAAGCACCAGCCTTTCAACAGTTCTTTCTGTACTTAAAGACCTTCATGTAAACATGCTTAACCATGTGTGAATATGCCATGCTTTTTGTTTTGCAATAAACATCAGGCATTCAAGACCGCAGGGAGGCATGCTGCTCCTTGTGCTCTGCAATGTGTTGTCTGTTTTACACTTCACACGTTTTTGTGGAATTGTTAATAGTGGTTTTATGAGTACACTGATAAAGATTTCCCTAACAGGAAAAAAAAATAAAAAAAAAAATCAAACCTTCTTGAGATTTCTGTTGACATAAAGGAAGCCTTGTTAAGATTTCACTGAAAATATAATACTCAAATGAGATGTCAGTGAAAAATAAAAGTTTGCTCAGATCTATAAAAATAAACGATGGCAAACTAATTTTCTGAATTAATTCCCTACAGGATCAAAACACACCACAGGCTTTGTGCTAGCACTATACAGTGCTCATTTCTTAGTAAAAACTTTGCTGTTTTTATTTCACTTCCATTTTTTTCTTTCTGCTTTGTTGAACTTGTTCTGGTCAGGGCTGAGCACGTCATGGTGGATGACCAGGAGTTTGGGGGCAGGAGGAACAATCGCTTGCAAAGTATACTGGCCTCAATTTAAAGCATTGGCTGGTGGGGATGCAGTCTCTTCAGGGAGTAAGAAGGAGGACACACAGCATTTTCACTGATGGATGCTACTGCTTGGAGCCTCAGAATGGGAAGTTCCTGCTTAATGCAACAATGTGCAATAAAAGGAAATACTGGCTGTACACCTCCCCAGGCAACACCAAAAACTTAAGAGTTCACACAGTGATGCTTAGCCTGCTCTGCAGTGTAGTCATGCCCAGAGGGCTCTCAGGACAGTGGCCACCTATCTGCAGAGCCCTTCTGTCTGGTAATACTTCTGAAGCAAGGCACTCCTGACTGCCTAGGCTGCCCCCTGACTAACAGTCACGGTTTTTATCTCCACAGTCTCTTGCAGTGCTGTGCATGAGTTCAGAGAAAGACTTGGTTAATGTCATTCATGTATGGTGCTGGGTTGGCGGTTTTTAGATGTGTAGAATTCCTCTTTGTCTCTTTTCAGAGAGCAAGAACATGTAAAAGCTTACAACAGGGTCATCTGTAAGTATAAGAACCAGATCCAGAACATGGCTTGCTGGAAAATGACACCTCATTTAGTTGCCAGGCTTGTTAACTCCAACAGTTTGCAGATACAAGAGGCAGAATTCAGCAGCTCTCCAGTGCTTGAATGGTGACATCTGGCGGGCATGACCTTTGAGCAGCAAACAGGTCACAGGTGGTCACAACAGGGCATGCAGAAGTATAGAGAGGTGCACACAACACCACCAACATATTCTGGAGCTCATCCGTGCTCACAATCTGTTCCTATGGTATAAGTCACCACGACATAAAGTAACTTCTGAGTGCAAGGGGTTATATCTTCTGGAGTAGCTCTTAAATTAATTCTCTAGAAGCAAATCTTTTTACTTGAGTGCATCTGGGTTCATACCACCCTAGAGACTGCTCTAACAGAGGAGCTGGGCACATGAGAAGGAAGCTGCTACAAAGAACTACTTGTCGCATAGCTCTTTACTTGGCGTAAATGAGCACAACTGAAGCCAGCAGAGCTGTGCTGATTTAAATCAGCTATATAATTCAACATGAGGAAAATTCAATGGCAGTAAAGAGTCTTACTATTGCTTAATTTAGCATGCCTTTCTCAATAATAGCGCTGATAGCAAAGCAATATTGATGAAGGATAACTTACCAGGGGCTCTTTGTACTCCCATGACAAATACAGAAAATTGGAAGATGAAAATGGATGTGAAGAAAAGCTTTTATTTGCTTGTGACAGTTAACTGTTAGCAAAGGGCGAGAAAAAAAATGACCTCCTTTCCTTATGCTGCTGCACAATGAGCAAAAAATATCTGTAAGCTCAGCAGCTCACCTTCTCTGAACTGTCAACCCAGATACTGTCAGCCAGACTTAAGAGTCTACAGAAAACTATCTTTCTCCTAACAGGATTTATAAAATGGGATTAACACAGT